AGAAGGTTTTCATCCTAGCTGCTGTGCTCTAAGCGAAGGGGCTCCAGCCAGATTCATGCTGACTAAACTCACTAAGCGGTGTGCTGGGAAGAAAAATAGGAAGAAATAAATTTGTGCAGCTGGTGAAAACCACACAAACACTCTGCACCCTGGGTATGATCTGAAGAGCACTCTGTGTCCAGCCTGTGTCCCAGATTCTAGAGAGTTCCCTCGTCTTGTGACTCCTTGCAATCATGGATGCCAAATCAAGAAAGGAAAAGGAAGTAGTGTGACTTCTCTCAGATAAATGCACCAGTGTTACAGAAGAAACACGAGCTGGCTTTATGCCTTAATGGGCTATTCCAGATAGCGAAATCTAGTACAGTCATACCTCGGGTTACAGATGCTTCAGGTTGCGTTTTTTCAGGTTACGGGCCGCCGAAACCCGGAAGTACCAGAACGGGTTACTTCCGGGTTTCAGCAGTCACGCATGCGCAGAAGCGCTAAATTGCGCTTTGCGCATGCACAGAAGCACCAAATCGCAACCCGTGTGTGTGCAGACGCGCAACTGTGGGTTGCGAATGATGCGAGTTGCGAACGTGCATCCCGCACGGATCACGTTCGCAACCCAAGTGTCCACTGTAGTCCTAAAACCGGGTTGCAGAGCCCAATCAGGATTAAGGAGAGGATCTTAGGGAGAGGCGGGTACAGTACTTTTCTCTAGGACATCAGTGAAGATAGCATGAGAAGCCAACCGTTGTGCAAGGCCTGATGGGGCTGGATTGATTCCTGACTATGGTCTGCACCAGTGAAGACCACAGGCATCATATTCCTGGATCTTAAGACAGGGGGCAGCACTGGTGCAGCACTCCTGAGCAATCTGGGCAAAGATCCTGTAAGACAAGTTGGATTGTGGTTAAGTGTGCACAAATGCAGCACACTTCAACAGGTACCAGACTTAAATCAATACAGCTTAAATCAGCAAGAGAAAAAAGGCCCATCAAAACCAGTGATTTAAATCCAGCTCCCCACTGATAGCTCTTCGCATATTTCCCAAACAGAAGCGCAGATCTGATCACCATGTATTTGCTACACTGTATACACGTGGGGTTTGTTTTTTACTCATATTTTACTCACATTGCTTTCTTGTGATCAACATTCAAGACTTAAGTAACACCCCACCCCAAAAAATTACCAGAAGCACAGCAAAGGGAAGTCTGAGGGGTTAAAGTCTAACTCTAGCTCATAATACGAAGTTTTAATATTTAACTATCGCTTAAGTAACTACAGGGCGATTGCGTTGATGAAAAATCCATCTGCAGTCAGGGAAAGTCTCAAACGAACAGACTTGTTGGCGGGGGGGGGGGGAGCTCTTCCTGGTGAGATTTTTATTGCACATTTACCCTGCCTCATTCGCTGGATTTTTCAGAGGCTCCTATTCTTAAATTAGGGAACGTGTGTGGCACTGTGGATTAAACCACAGAACCTAGGACTTGCCGATCAGAAGGTCGGCGGTTCAAATCCCCGTGATGGGGTGAGCTCCCGTTGCTCGGTCCCTGCTCCTGCCAACCTAGCAGTTCGAAAGCACATCAAAGTGCAAGTAGATAAATAGGTACCGCTCCGGCGGGAAGGTAAACGGCGTTTCCGTGCGCTGCTCTGGTTCGCCAGAAGCGGCTTAGTCATGCTGGCCACATGATCCGGAAGCTGTACGCCGGCTCCCTCGGCCAATAAAGCAAGATGAGCACCGCAACCTCAGAGTTGGCCATGACTGGACCTAAAGGTCAGGGGTCCCTTTACCTTTTTATTCTTAAATTGCTTGTGTTCTGAAAGCAAGCTGCCATTCTTAACCAGAAGCTGTCTGCTAAGTCACAAACTGAAAGCCAGTTTCCCCGAAAAGTCCAGGGAAGATATAAAGCACAGCTCAAGGTGTGATGGGGGGGGGCTCCATTTGCCCCACCCTGGCTAGAAAGCCAGCCCCGAATCTACTTTACCTCTGCTACCTATGGTTGGCCACTCATTATTCCTGTTTCGTTCTAAGACCATCTTCCTCACAGGCCCCCTGTTTCCTCTGAAAACTTCTGATTACTCAAATATTGTGACTGCCCTTCAGATGAAGGAGGCTGGACGCCAGCTCCCTGCCCAATCGTGGTTAATTAGCTGGCAAAATGCTGCAGAAGCATCGAGACAGCTCTGCAAGTACCCTAAGCATTATTGCTATGGCTGCGGTGTGAAATGTCAATTTGTAAACTCATTTGTTCCTTCTGAATCATTCCTCGCCCTGGAGAGGAGTCAAGATAACCTCAAACGAGGGGCGTATTGAGGCCATCTCTGGGATTGTTCCGAATCTTCTCCAGCTAAAATGCTTTCGATATTAATAGATCTCTTTCTTCTCTCAACCCCAGGTTCTCATCAGTAAAATAATTACACTTAACAGCCGCATGCGGTTGTTGTCGAGATAATTTAAGGCAAAAGGGTGCGGGCAACAAGGAAGAGATGGGCAGGAAGGGAGTTGCGGTAAAGTACTTCATTGGCATCGATTGCTAATAACGCCACTTAGTATTTATACAGAACTTTTCCAAAGCTCTCAAACACTTTGTTATCTTGACAACCTTCACAACATCCCCATGAGGTAGGCCAGCTATTATCGTTGTGCAAACGGCTATTCTGAATAATGCATTTTGTAGGGTAGGATAAGGAACCACTGGGTTACAGTGGCAGATTAGGAGACTCAGCCAAACCCCCAATTTAGCCACAATGCTGACTAGGTGACTGTTAAGTTGTGGGTGAACATATCAGATGACACAGCGATTCTTCAAACAGCTCTTGTTTATTCACAGACCCAGAACAGAACTGAAGGGTTCAGCCAGCCTGCTTATATAGAGCTCCACTACAATGCAACAGTAACAGTAAGCTTCACTCCTTATGTTTCTCTCTGCCGGCCAACTCTTCAAACAGGAGACCTGCCTGAAATTTAAAAAGAGAGATTGTAGCCCCAGTTAGAGGGCTGACTTTCTGATTTGTACCTGACCAGGGTTTTAAAGAAAGATTAATGGCCAAACTACACAGTTACATTAAGCACATTGTTTGTTTGTTTATAAATTTTATTTATGATTTTCGGGTTTTATACATTTCGATAATTTTACCGTTCAAAACATGACTTCCTTCCCCCTTTCTACAGTTCCTTAAATTTATTTCCAATATATTCTGCATAGCCAAATTAACTTAATTTGTTCATTTCTTCATCTACTTTAAATATATACTTATGAAACTGCAGGTTATTACAATAATCCTGCCAATGCTCTTATCTATTTACAATTTATCTGAAAATATTCAATAAACCATTTCCATTCTTTTATAAAAAGTTTGTTACCTTGATTTCTTATTTTACTAGTAAGTTTTGCCGTTTCTGCATATTCCGTAAGTTTTTGTATTGTATCCATTCCTCCTTTGCTGGGACTTCTGCTTCTTTCCATTTTGGGACAAGTAACACTCTTGCCGCTGTAGTAGCATACATGAATAAGTTTCTGTACAGTTTAGGTAGTTCTGTCCCTATAATTCCCAAAAGAAAAGCTTCTGGGTTTTTTTGTTTTGTTTTGTTTTTACAAAAAAGTACAGTCATACCTCAGGTTACAGAGGCTTCAGGTTGCGCGTTTTCAGGTTGCACACTGTGCTCAACCCAGAAACACTAAATCACACTTTGCGCATGTGCAGACGCGCCGAATGGTGTCACATGCGTGCACAGACATGGCGCTGTGGGTTGCGAACGCTGCGGGTTGTGAATGTGCCTCCCGCACGGATCATGTTCGCAACCCGAGAGTCCACTGTTTAGTCCAAGTGCAGTTTGCCCTACAGATGCGACAGCAACTAATTCTTTTCTGGGGCCACCATTGCACCCCACAGGTCCTATCGTCTGGGCAGCCCAGGACTTCCAGACACACTGCCCAGGTTTGTGTCCTGGAGAGGTCACTTCGATGCACTTTTACTTCACCCCCGGAGGCGCACTCCATTGTCTCTAGGACGGATGCCAAAGTACCATTTGAAGGGACAGTTTTCCCACAGCTAAACTAGCTTGTGGCTTTGGGGGGGGGGGAATGGGAGCCTAAATAAAATTGCCTTAACTGTCCCAGCGCTCAGACGGCAGACTGAGTTTTGAAGGTACCTCGGGTTAAGTACTTAATTCGTTCCGGAGGTCCGTACTTAACCTGAAACTGTTCTTAACCTGAAGCACCACTTTAGCTAATGGGGCCTCCTGCTGCCGCCAGAGCACGATTTCTGTTCTCCTCCTGAAGCAAAGTTCTTAACCTGAAGCACTATTTCTGGGTTAGCAGAGTCTGTAACCTGAAGCGTATGTAACCTGAAGCGTATATAACCCGAGGTACCACTGTACAAGTTTTCTGTCAATCCTACCAATGTATGTAACTCTTTACAATAGCTTTTCAACTAAATTATAAACTATCCCCATTCTTTATTAAAGAGGTCCTCTTCCTGGTTTCTAATTCTGCCATCTCGACGTCGTTCATCAGTTTTGTCTGCCACTCTTCTTTGGTCGGAGTTGTAGACCCTTAGGATCATCTAGTCCAACCCCCTGCAAAACACAGTTAGTGGCAGCCAAAGCAACATGGCTCCATCAGTGGCGGATTTCTGTATAAACTAAGCCAAAATCCCTTATTTTCAAATCTGTAAATTTACAGCTATGGTCGGACACAACCCCACTTCTTTCCACCCCGTGACCTCTCTTCCACCAGATCGAAAGGCAGCGAGGGATCTCCACCGGCCCACCTACTCAGGAGGAGGCGCAGGGAGGCGGTTGCCCTCGCTCGGGGGAACCGACGCACCTTGGATCGCGCACAAAGGGGCGGATCGGGGGCCTGGAGGGGGCGGGCGCGCCGGAGGAAGAGGCGGCCAGTCGCGTTGGAGATCCGCTGGCTCCCTCCTCCTGCTGCCTCCGCCCCCGGCGAGGAGGGGAGGGCGCGGGCGGGGATCGGCCGGGGTCGGCCGGCCTGGGCTTGCGGGGGAAAGAGGAAAAAGTTTCGCGGCCACGTGGGTGTCCCGTGCGGAGGGGCGGGGAGGGCGGGCCCGGGCCTCTTTTGACCCCTCGGCAGGCACCATCGGGGCTTCACTGAGCGCAGGAGCTGCATTCGCCCGGGGTGTCGCCATGCCTCCCGCCGAGATCATCAGCGGCAAGGCCGTTTCCGAGTAGGTCGCCGCCGCCGCCGCCCCCTCGGGGCTTTGGGGAGGGCCGGGCTTTGCGCGCGGGGAGGCGGGCAAGCGGGAAGGAAGGAGACGCGTGTATGCATCGCTCTCGGGGCCTGCTAGGGCGCACCTGGACTCGGGTCCCGGCCGCCAGGGCTGTAAGTGGGGGGAGGTGTTTTGCGCCCCACTTTTCCAAGAGGGCCAGACCCCCCCTTAGGATGAAGGATACCGGGTTTGCTGCGCGCCCCAGCGCGCGTCCGGACAGGAGTCGCCCGCCTGGAGTTCTGCGGGACTTGCGCGCCACTTGGCGTAGATTTCACCAGGTTGGTGGAATGGTAGAGTTGGAAGGGACCACGGGGATCAGCTGGCGCTTTTCCCCAGCGGGGGACTCGAACCTACGACCCTGAAGTTAAGAGTCTCGTGCTTGAAGGGAGGGAGCCCTCCCACGCGGACTCCCCCAAAGCCACGTGCCGTCTCCCTTCGCTTCCATCCAAATTACTCGTTGTTGCATGAAGTTGCCGTTCGTTTTAACTTTCAATAAAAATCGCCCGCCTTCCTCCCGTCGCCTGGAGGCCAAAGGTGTGTCCTGTGCCCGGTTTCCAGGTGGTCTCCCATCCAGGCGCACGGGTCAGACTCGGCGCTGCTGAGCCTCTGCAAGCTGGTGGCGTCATGGGGCTGTAAATCGAACCTGAGACCGGCCTTTTCCTCCAGGGCAGGGCTAGCTGCCCCCTGGCTCTCTCCAGCTGCTGTTGGGCGGGCAACTCAGATCAGCCTCAGCCAGCATGGCCAGTCGTCAGGGATAGATCAGTCGCTAGAGCATAGAACCAAAGACTTGTCGAGTTGGAAGGGACCCCGAGGTCCAACCAACCCCTGCAACGCAGGAATATGCAGCTGCCCCATGCAGGAATCGAACCTGCAACATTGGCATTATCAGCACCATGCTCTAACCAACTGAGCTGTGAGGCTCTTTAATTTCAGGGTCATTGTTTGAAGCAAGAGATTTCTGCATTGTAGGGGGTTAGACTAGATGACCGTCGTGGTCCCTTCCAACCCTACAATTCTATGATTTTACCCCTGCACCCTGAGGGTTGCATTCCATTCTGGGCAACGTTTTATTCTTTACTATTATCATTATATATTTATTTACTTGCAAGGAAGGTGGCTTACAAACAAAAATAAGAACCGCTAAAAACTTAAGTGCAGGGACAGCATTCAGAATTTAAACTATATGCATAGATAAAATACCTTAAAAGCATACGGATAACTGCAATTAAAGCAGCACGGCCCCAACCCTTTCTTTAAAAGCAGTCTGTTCCCAGCAGCCCGTTGGAACGTGAAGGTGGGAGGACAGCAAGGAGGGAGCGAGTCGAGCTTCTCGAGGGAGGGAGTTTGGGAGCTGCCACCACCGAGAAGGCCCCGTCCTGCAACCCCCACCAAGAATGCCCGTGAGGGTGGTGGGACGGAGATAATAGATCAAAGCCAGCATTTTGAACGATGCCCAGATATAGATTGGTACCTGGTGGAGCTGTCGTACAAAGGGAGCCATTATGCTCCCTGGAGCCTTTGGGGAGCCATGCCTCAGTGCTGTGCAAGGAGGAAGGCAAAAGTGGCCAGAGCAGCGAATGCGAATGCTGCCTTTCTACAGCAGGAGAGCTTCTCAGCATGTGCTCCTGCACCCTGTCTCTGTTCTCCATCTACACAAAAAAGTAGTACAGTGGACGCTTGGGTTGCGAATGTGATCTGTTCAGGAGGCACGTTCACAACCCGCAGCACTGTGTCTGCGGGTTGCGATTCGGCATTTCTGCGCATGCACAAAGCGCGGTTTAGCATGTGCGAGCGCTCAAACTCAGAAGTAACCCATTCTGCTACTTCCGGGTTCGGCACGGTACACAACCCAAAAACGCCCAACCTGAAGCGTCTGTAACCCGAGGTATGACTGTATTATCAGACTTGGGAGAGACACATTCCAGCCTGGCAGAAATACTGGGAGAGGACCAGGGAGGAGGGCTGTGGCCTGCAGAGATTTCCAAGGGAATTGTCTCCTGTCTCCCTTTATTGCTCTGCTGGCTTAATATTAACCCAGCGGCTGGTCCGTGACTGATTAACATTTGATTCCTTGATCCTGAAATCATATGTGTGTGTCTTAAACTATGTCCTCTTTTGAAACCTTTGCTTTTAAAGCTCACTTTTTTCCAGGGGCCTGGCTGAAGAAGCTGCTTTTAGTTTTATTCCTCTGTCATTGTACCTGCATGCTGCACAAAACAAAACAAAAAACCTCACCTGTTAGATTTCTGCCTGCGCCCAGGAGGCTTGTTAGACCTCTTTGCAGCATGAGGAGCAGAAGCTGCCTCCCTTGTCCCGTCCGTGTGAGGTTTTCTGCTTCTGCAAAAGACTGCTCCCTTCCTCTCCTCTCCCCAAGCTGCCCCAGAGGGTTGGGGAAAGTCTTGAAATCTTTGTGCTGTTGAAATGATGGGGGTCAGTGTTATATTGGATTCCACCATGAGTGTTGCCATTGTTCCTCAGCCTCTTTTCTGAAGCTCATCACTACCCTTGCATGCAGGATGCATTGGAGCTGAAAATTATGCAAACCGTGGGATGCTGTCTTCAGTCCAAGCCAGCATGACCAGTGGTCAGGGGTGATGGGAACTGTAGTCCAGCAACATCTGCAGGGTTCCCAGTCCTTTATATATGTGCTCAGCTCTCATCAACCCTGACCATTGGCAGTTTATTGATTTGTGAATTGGACATATACGTCCCTAGGCAATTTGCAGGCAGGGAGCTGTAATTTAGTTTAAGGGCGCTGGGAATTATAGTTCCGCGAGAGGTAAACTACAGTTCCCGTGATTATTATGGGGCAAGTCATTGGCTTTAAATGTATAGCGCGTATGCAACCAGAGTTGATGGCTGAGCGATGTGGACTGCTTTAATTTAGTGGGGTTGCTTTCATTACTGCCGCTGAATCCATACGGGTTGACCTTCATATGTCAATTTTGCATTGGAAGCGGATAATTGGCATCTGATCCAGCGGCCTTTCCCTTCTCCCCCCCTCCCCCAGCTCACCACCCAATTGCACAATTTTAACACAGCGCTGGAAAGACAAGGGAGCCAGCAAAGCAAACAACTGCACTACAGGATCTGGGCCTGCAAGAATTTAACCAGGGGAGCCTTTGTAGTTTCATCTGGTTGAACTTGCAAGCCTGTGGAATGCCTTACACCTTTATTTGTGAGGTTCCTTCATTCCTGCAGCAACGTATGCCCTTTCCCCCTTTTCTGGTTCTTGGAACGCTCACATGAATGTGTCTTCCAAGCGATTTCTGATGTGAATCCGTTCTTAGCATGGGTGGGGAACCACAAGAAGTTCCCGTACTCCAGCTCCCGCAATCTCCATCCATTGGCCATGGGACTGATGTGAGAGTTGAGCCCAACAACATCTGGAAGGCCACAGGCCAGGCTTCCTCAACCTATGGCCCGCCAGATGTTTTTGGCCTACAACTCCCATGATCCCTAGCTAGCAGGACCAGTGGTCAGGGATGCTGGGAACTGTAGTCTCAAAACATCTGGCGGGCCGAGTTTGAGGAAGCCTGCCATAGGCTCCCCATCTGATTTATAATAAGCACCGTGTCTTCTTGGTGGCGTTGATTTACTGGGGCATCAGCTTTTGTGAATTAGAGCCTAGACTTCATCCGATATGTAAAGTGGACATTAGTTCATGGAAGCTGATGCTGAAATACGGTTGCTAGTCTTTCAGCTGCCCCTAGATTCTCTATTTTTAAAAAAAAGTTTAAATTGAATTTTCAATTTTGCAAACAAAACAGACATTTTGCATACCATTAAATATCCAGCAAGGACTTCCCTCCCTCTCCTTCCTTGGTTAACAGTGACACAGAGCGTTCATGACGTCAGAATATTCTTCACAACTGTGAGCAGGGCAGTGGGGTAGGGGTAAGTGAAGACAAGCGACAACAAGTAACTACAACGTTGTTCACCACTCTTGTTCAGGCTGCACAGGAAAAGCATTTGGGTTCCTGAAATCCATTCTGATTGTGCAGATAAAATATAACGGATAGAATTCTTCAGGATGTGTTTCTAGTGTGTGAACACAGTCCAGATCCAAGGATCCCTAGGCTTGCACCTCCGGATTTTGGAGGTATCAGGCACTGTCCTAGCACCCGGCATCTGCACTTGGTCACAAGTGGCCAGTAGCTAGGTGCAAAATGTGAATTTCGAAAACTGCCTCCAGATGTTCTGGACTACAACTCCTGGCTGGCACTGATGGAAATTGCAGTCCCAAACATTTGGAGGACACCAAGTTGATGACGTCTGTAGAAGCGTGAAACCAAGAAGTAAATGTTGCAGCAAATGCCCTTGCTACATTGATTGTGCCACAATAAATCTGTATGTCTTTTTCAGTTGCCACAAAGTTATTTAATATATAGATATACAGTGGTACCTTGGGTTACATACACTTCAGGTTACAAACTCTGCTAACCCAGAAATATTACCTCGGGTTAAGAACTTTGCTTCAGGATGAGAACAGAAATCGCACGGCGGCAGCAGGAGGCCTCATTAGCTAAAGTGGTGTCTCAGGTTAAGAACAGTTTCAGGTTAAGAACGGACCTCCAGAACAAATTAAGTACGTAACCAGAGGTACCACTGTACATTGCTGTAGGGATGCGGGTGATGCTGTGGGTTAAACCACCACTTGGGCTTGCCAATCAAAAGGTTGGCGGTTCAAATCCCCGTGACTGGATGAGCTCCCATTGTTCAATCCCAGCTCCTGCCAACCCAGCAGTTTGAAAGCATGCCAGTGCAAGTAGATAAGTAGGTACCACTCCGGTGGGAAGGTAAACGGCGTTTCCGTGCGCTGCTCTGGTTTCGCCAGAAGCAGCTTAGTCATGCTGGCCACATGACCCAGAAAAACTGTTTGCAGAAGCGGACAAACGCCGGCTCCCTCAGCCTCTAAAGCAAGATGAGCGCCACAACCCCAGAGTCGTTCACGGCTGAACTTAATTGTCAGGGGTCCCTTGACCTTTATACATTGCTGTATCTGATTGCACGTTATCTTGCCGAGATGCAGGACAGACCAAAGAAAGTACTTTGCTCCCCCCGTTTTTTGTTTACTATCACATTTACGTCCTTCCTTTTCTCTGGGTGGTGTGCATTGTGGCCCCTCTCCATTTTACCCTCACAACAACCCTGTGAGGTTAGGCTGAGAGGCTGTGACAGAACCATGGGTGAGCATCATGTACTGAGGGCCACCAACTTGGATGTCTTTAAAGAGAATCAGACACGATGACTATGTTCCTGTACAAAATCTAACCTTCATATTTGTAGCCTCACCCACTTTTGCCCCTGTCCCCGCCCACCTCAGAAGGTTGGACCTCAGAAGGTCGCTAAGACATAAATGCGGCCCTCACAAGAACCAAAGTTTCCCACGCATGTATTAGGGCAAAATATGAAGAAAAATAGGCTTTATTTCTTTGGGACAAGGTAGGGGCACCTGTAATCTCTTGTACTGGGACTTCTGCCGTCGCCTCCTGCCCCTAGCATGGCAGCCGAGGGAGATATTTGAGTGGGTTTTGGTGAAATATTAACTAGCTGACATTTAGAACAGATTGTCCTTTATGGCTCATCACGGAATCTGCCAACTCTAAAAATTGTGAAACAAAAGTTAGCAGGGGAGGTGCTAACCGCTGACAGATTCACATGTTATATTTTTGCTGATTCATAGAATTGTACAGTTGGAAGTGGTCCCTGAGAGTTATTTTATTTTATTTATTTATGGAATTTATATGCCGCCCTATGCCTGGGGGGGCTCAGGGCAGTTCGCAGAATAAAATCAAGGTATAAAACCATAAAATACATAATAATAATAAAAACAACAACCCAGTACCACCACCCCCAAAAAAAACACATTTTAAAAGGGCATGTGATGTAAATCAGATCAACCAAAAGCCTGGGTTAAAAGAACGTTTTTGCCTGGTGCCTAAAGGTGTATAATGAAGGTGCCAGGTGAATGTCCTTTGGGAGAGTCCAATACTGCCATCCAGGAATCTCAACTAGATCATCCATGGCAGATGGCCATCCAACCTCTGCTTAAAAACCCCCAAGGAAGGAGAGTCCACAACCTCCCAAGGGAGGTTTTGCAGGCAAAGGACAAAGTATGATCTTAAGAGACAACTCCAGATCTGAACAGGCCCTGGGGGAAGTCTCTGCTGATGGAGAAGGGCTGTAGCTCTTTTGTGGAACATCTGCCTTGCATGCAGAAGTGCTCAGGTTCAATTCCTGGTATCTCCAGGTATAGCTGGGAGAGAACTCTGCCTGAAATCCCAAGGAGCTGCTGCCAGCCAGTGTAGACACTACTGCACTAGCTGGACCAATGGTCTCACTTGGTATAATAATATAATAATAAATTTTTATTTATACCCCGCCATCGCCGGCCAGAGCCGGGCTCAGGGCTGCTAACACCAGTAAAATTACAATAAAAACATAAGGTGGGGGGGGGGACACACACCAATTTTAGAATACAGGTTAAAATACAATTTAAAATGCAGCCTCATTTTAATAGTAGCCCATGTATCAAAACCATAAGGGGAGGGAAACATAAGGGTCAGACTGAGACCAAACCAAAGGCCAGGCGGAACAGCTTTGTCTTGCAGGCCTTGCAGAAAGACGTCAAGTCCCGCAGGGCCCAAGTCTCTTGTGACAGAGCGTTCCACCAAGTCGGGGCCAGTACTGAAAAAGCCCTGGCCCTAGTTGAGAGAGCATCCTTTGTCAGTGGTCCCTGGTGGTGGCAATCTTTTAGGTGGTGCTGGCAGCTGACTCTAGCCACTCTTTTAATTTCCCGCAATTCCCCAGATCGGGGTTATTATGGGATATTTAAAGGGTGGCAAGATCCACCCATCTGGTGCTTTTTAGAGTGCTGGACTAGCAAAGAAATTAAGGGTGGGGATTGGGTGTGAATCTGCGGTGGTTCTCCTAATCTGCCCAGCGATGCCAAATGTTGGTGCCAGGTCTGCGTAGCACACTGGTTTCCTCCAGGTAGAAGTAATAATTTGCTTAGGTGTGAGTATTAACTTCTTTGCAGCCAGAACCAGATTTTTATCCAAAAGAAGAAGAAGAAGAAAGCAAGTATCAAACACATGCCTGGAATCTAGGCCTCCCCCCCCCATCCCTGGAAATTGCTGGTGGACTTATGATCCGTTCTCATAATTCTGGGTTCTGCGGATTTTCCCTTGTGCATTTTTACAAGTGCATTGTCAAAACCTACATAATGAATAAATGGGCTATGTCAGCTTTTGCTGACCTGCTGCTCTCCAGATGTCAAAACTAGTTCCTAACATCTGGAAGGTGCCAGGATGGGCAAAGTAAGAAGCAGAAAGCTATAAAATCAAAGCAAAACACTTTTAAACAGAGGTCAGTAGTTGAAGATCTGCATGCTTTGTCAAATATTACGAATATCAACAGGCTGAAAATGGGACTTACGCTCTTTAATTAAAACCTTTTTTTATTTACAAAAGCAGTTTCTGTTGCCTGCAGCTGCACCCTATGCTCAGTAGATGGCATTGCAATGCGAGTATTATTATTTCTGCAAACCGGCGTGGTGCAGTGCGCCTCAAGAGTGACTGTAATAGCAACCGGCGGATCCTTTTGATTTTGTTTTCACTGGGGTTGTTATTTTTAAATCTTATTATTTTTCAATGCACAATGAATGTGCCTGACTTAATCTTTTTAGCTTGTGCCTGAACAGCGGTTGGAGACCAGCTATATCATGAACAAGAAACAGCTACTTATCCATGGGATCCTACGTATAGTACAGATGAGAATGAATTGTGGTTCTTTGTGTTGCCGTAGCTCATTGTGTTTGCTTTTCTGTTCCTAAATCGGGTGACGTGAGAGCCAGCATGGTGTAATTTGAGAGCCGGTGTGGTATTTTGGTTAGGGTGTCTGACTAGGAACCGGGGAGAGATGAGGGTTCGAATCTCCACTTGGCCATGAAGCTCTCGGGGTGGTCTTGGGCCCGTCACAGGGTTGCTGTGGGAATTACACGAGGGGGAGAACAATGTGCGCCACCCTGAGCTCCTTGGAGGAAAAGGCAGGATGCAATCAGTAATAATAATAATAATAATTTATTATTTATACCCCGCCCACCTGGCTGAGTTTCCCCAGCCACTCTGGGCGGCTTCCAATCAAGTGTTAAAAACAACACAGCATTAAATATTAAAAACTTCCCTAAACAGGGCTGCCTTCAGATGTCTTTTAAAGATAGGATAGCTGCTTATTTCCTTCACATCTGAAGGGAGGGTGTTCCACAGAGTGGGCGCCACCACCGAGAAGGCCCTCTGGCTGGTTCCCTGTAACCTCACTTCTCGCAGCGAGGGAACCACCAAAAGGCCCTCGGCAGTCCGGTCAGAACGATGGGGGTGGAGGCGCTCCTTCAGGTATACTAGACTGAGGCCGTTTAGGGCCTTAAAGGTCAGCACCAACACTTTGAATTGTGCTCAGAAACTTACTGGGAGCCAATGCAGAGTAACAAATGGCGTGTTTACACAGATGTTTCCTGTGAAAATGCATGGATTTCCTTGCTGCCTCTTGAAAACTGCTTTACAGTGGTACCTCGGGTTAAGAACTTAATTCGTTCCGGAGGTCCGTTCTTAACCTGAGGTACCACTTTAGCAAATGGGGCCTCCCGCTGCTGCCATGCGATTTCTGTTCTCATCCTGAAGCAAAGTTCTTAACCCGAGGTACTATTTCTGTAGCAGAGTCTGTAACCTGAAGTGCCTGTAACCCGAGGTACCACTGACTCTGTGATTGGACCTTGGTGTCTTGGACTCCATAGCTCAGTGACAGAGCATCTGCTTTGCATGCAGAAGGTTGTGGGTTCAGTCCCCAGCATCTCCCCAGAGAGCTGCTGCCAGTCAGTGTGGACAGTACAGTGGTACCTCGGGTTACAGACGCTTCAGGTTACAGACTCCGCTAACCCAGAAATATTACCTCAGGTGAAGAACTTTGCTTCTGGTTGAGAACAAAAATCGGGCAGCGGCAGCAGGAGGCCCCATTAGCTAAAGTGGTGCTTCAGGTTAAGAACAGTTTCAGGTTAAGAACAGACCTCCAGAACGAATTAAGTTCTTAACCCGAGGTACCACTGTACGGAGCTAGGTGGACCAAAGGTCTGATTCGGTATAAGGCATCTCCCTGGGTTCTTACAGTTTTGCTTTGTCACAATTTCTCTCTCCGCCTTCATGCATTATGGCAGCGTTCCCCAACCTGGTGCCTCCCAGGACTACACCTCCCATCACCCTGACCATTGGCCAGGCTGGCTGAGGCTGATGGGAGTTGTAGTCCACAACATGGAGGGCGCTAAGTAGGGGAAGTTTCCTCTATGGGCAAAGGTAGCAAAGTAGTGGTCAGGGGTACCCCATTTCCCACTTCCGTGATGAATAACATGGGTACATAGGTTCCAAGATTAAGTCTTCCAGAAAGTTCCAAGTTGGTTTGAACCCTGGCACATCTGTTTGGAACTCTCCTCCTCCTAGTTTTTCCTGCTGCTGGATTTGTGACTTTCTTTTCTCCCTCCGATCTCTTCCTTTTCTAGGCAAGTGAGGCAGAGACTCAAGAGCCAAGTGGCAGAAATGAAGGAGAGAGTCCCAGGCTTCAGACCAGGCCTTGCAATTCTACAGGTTAGCGGCTATATCTACAATTTTGAGATTTGTTTTCATCCAAAGCCGATGCTCACAGGGTCAGACGTTACAGCATCCTTCACCCACTTGGATGTCCTCCAGATATTTTGGACAGAATTTCACGCAAAAACAGTTTTTCTGTACAGTGGTACCTCGGGTTACAGATGCTTCAGGTTACATACGCTTCAGGTTACAGACTCGGCTAACCCAGAAATAGTACCTCGGGCTAAGAACTTTGCTTCAGGATGAGAACAGAAATTGCGCAGCAGCGGCAGCGGGAGGCCCCATTAGCCAAAGTGGTACCTCAGGTTAAGAACAGTTTCAGGTTAAGAACGGACCTCCAGAACGAATTAAGTACGTAACCAGAGGTACCACTGTACATTACTGTAGGAATGCGGTTCTTAACCCGAGGTACCACTCTATTATATATATATATCAAAATCTGAAACTTTGGCATTGGCCTGTCTGGAATGGTGTGGTCTGTAGTCACTTTGTGTCGTGAAATATCACTTATTATCTGCGAAGCAGTCTTTGGGAGGAGGGAATTAAAATTTACAGGGGATGAGGAAAGGCTTAACCCTTTCCCCCATTTGCTACTGCCCATTCCCCCAGTTGGAATTTCAGTGACCGAAGCGGAACGTACCGAAACAGACAGTTCTTGTGTAATGTGGGATTTGGTATGGAGGCCTATTGTTGGAGGTTGGGGTTGCCCCAAACTGGGCGGTCTGCTAATTTTGTGTGAGGTTCCTGCCTCCATACCATTACACGCCTTAAAGGAGGGTCTTATTATCCTCTGGATGAGCTTGGGGGGCGAGGAGACACCCTGTCAGTGGTTACACAAATGGGGGGGGGGACGAGAAACTTTTCTTTCATTGACTTCCTTGAGCTAAGTTATCTTAGGAACTGAACCAAAAATAAGTGAAACCAATAAATTGCCTTCTATTTGTGATTTTTTTTTCCCTCTTCCTCCTTTTAAAGGTTGGTGATCGGGATGATTCAAATCTCTACATTAGCATGAAACTCAAGGCTGCTGCTGAGGTAATATTACCCACGCACCCAAATAGCGTAGGGTTCTCCGGAGTGTTTCATTCCCCCTTTTCATAATTATGAATAATAATTATAATATTATATTATATATAATATTAATATTAATATATCATAACAACAACAACAAAACAACAACAACAAAACAACAACAACAACAACAACAACAACAACAACAACAACAACAACAACAATAATAATATATTATTTATACCCCACCCATCTGGCTGAGTTTCCCCAGCCACTCTGGGCGGCTCCCAATCAAGTGTTAAAAACAGTACAGCATTAAATATTAAAAACTTCCCTAAACAGGGCTGCCTTCAGATGTATTTTAAAGATAGGATAGCTGCTTATTTCCTTCACATTTGAGAAAGGTTGTGAGGCACAGTGGGTATAGCCTGGCAGACCATGTCAGAGCCCAGGAAACAGTGACTCAGGGAGAGCACCTGGGTGTTGCTTCAGCGCCATGTGTAGCCATGGTAGTTCTGGACTCCTCTCACCATTCCTGGCTGTGGCAGTGGCTCATGGAAAGGATGCAGCGTTCTAGGAGGAACGTTGTGATGGGCAACAGGAAATCCCAGTCTGCATGTGGGGAGTGAGTTCGAAACATCGGAAGCTGCCATGTGCTGGGCCAGACCATTGCTCCATCCAGCTTAGTATTATCCTCACTGACTGGCAGCAACGGCAGATGCTCTTGTCACTGAGCTACATCTTTTCCCAGAACATTATGGTCTGCCACCGATCTGTGGTCGTTGCCCTGATGCCCAGCTGCTCCAAATAAGCGCCTCCACAGAAAGTCACAATGAGAAAGAAAGAAAGACAAAATGTTCTGAATATTATTTCTGTTTATATCCCAAGACCAGGGAGAAGAGGGCAAAGTGGAGACATGCTGCTGCCGCCGCACGCTGCCTTGTTGATGGTGGACAGCTAAACCACCTTCACATCACAGCGTGAGAAGACGGCGCATGTCTCCTGGTTTCCTTGGCAACGTGTTTTCCTGCCCAGTGGGCAAACACTTTCCCTCCCTGGAAAAGTTGCCCAGAGCAAGGTCCCTTTCTGTGCATGTGGCGGGGAGAAGAAGGGAGCCAAAGGTTTCGGCTCAGTTCTGCCATCTCTTTCTGAGCCTTCCAGAATGAGAAAATTACTTGGCTGCTTTTCATCTAATCACATCGCAATTCATAGAGTCTAATGATTTCTATTTTGTTCTCTGTCTTATATTCCAGATCGGGATCAATGCCAACCACATCAAGCTGCCAAGCACTGCAACAGAAGCTGAGGTAACCCAGTTTTACTTTACGAATCTCTCTGTGGTTTCACAGGGAGATCCTGTTGCATTTCCCGGATCACGGTTTCTTCTGAAAGTCGATTCCTAAATCTGCTTCCTGAGATCTTTTTCAGTTGGAGGTCCCTGGGATTGAACCTGTGACCTTACTGTCATCTGCTATTGTGCTATGAAGCTGCATGTTGGGAGGTTCAGGAGAGAGAACGATTCTATGAGATACAAAATTAAAGTGTTGTCTTGTTGTCTAGATAGCTAATTTCCTGCTTTCATACAGATGAGTCATTTATAAACTTCCTCAGGGATGGAAGTGAGAGTGACCCTCAGACATCAGTGGATAATTCAGATATTTTAATGGACATAAGTGTGTTCATCCTCCTGTGACCCCTCCCAAAACGCCCCCCAACTATACACATGTACCACATGTAGGGGAAAAAACAGAGAGAGAAGGTTCAAAACATCTCAATGAGGACTAGCATGCTGGGTTAGCATGCTCAGTAGGCACAGAATGCTGACAGATGTGGGGAGCAGGAAAATGCTATGGTGCAACATTTTGTTGCAGAGCCTCACCTGTTTCTTTCTAATTGTCTCCCCGCCCCGCCCCGCCCCCGGTCCTGTTCCTGCTTTTAAACAAACAGGTGCTGAGATGCATTCACAATTTGAACGATGACCCTGCTGTTCATGGGTTTATAGTACAATTGCCTTTGGATACCAACAAGCCCATCAACACGGAGAAAGTCACCAATTCTGTGGCACCTGAAAAGGATGTGGACGGGTAAGCTTGCGGAAGGGTCAAAGGTCTGCCGTAGAGCCTCTGACTTGTAAGCAAGGTCCCGGGTTCAATCCCTGGCAATTTCCAGGGAAATAGGAATGTCCTCTGTCTGGAATCCCAGAGAGGTGCCTGGAGATGAGACTGAAGTGAGAAGGTTTCTTTCTTCTTTGGCGATCCCTCCTAGCCGAGTAAGATTGTCTTCCATAATCACGGTTTTAAAAGTGAGTCTGTAAGTGACTGTGGAGGCCAATTCTGGATCCACACGTCCTTCCACATTGGGGACATAGGTTTCCGGGCGGGAGTTGATCACGGTGAGGGTTTGCCAAGCATGCCTGCCTCATAGCACGATTCTCCCTTTCGTCCTGAGTTCGAGTGTCTTCAAAGCCCATGACACCTTTGGGAAAGGCAGTTCTCCAATTGGAGTACCCACAGACAAGTGTTTCCCAGTTCTCAGTGTTTATACTACAGTGGTACCTCGGGTTGCATACGCTTCAGGTTACAGACCCCGCTAACCCAGAAATAGTACCTCAGGTTAAGAACTTTGCTTCAGGGTGAGAACAGAAATTGTGCAGCAGCAGCGGGAGGCCCCATTAGCTAAAGTGGTACCTCAGGTTAAGAACAGTTTCAGATTAAGAACAGACCTCCGGCACAAATTAAGTTCTTAACCTGAGGTACCACTGTCCTTTTTTCCCCTTCAGATTTGCCTTGAGAGAGTCTTTGAACCTCTTTTGTTGACCACCAGCATTACACTTTCCATTTTTAAGTTCGGAATAGAGTAGTTGCTTTGGAAGACGTTAAACAGATATCTGCACAGCATGACCAGTCCAATGAAGTTGGTGTTGAAGAATCAATGCTTTGACACTGGTGATCTTTGCTTCTGAAGTGAGATCTTTGCTACTGGTGATGTTTGCTACTGAATTGAGAAGGTTTGGGGCCTGTATCATCACATGCATACCATATATGGCAAAGGGATTTCAGTCCAGAACCAGATGCTTGTAGCTTCTGGAACAGAGAACATTTGCCCCAATTCATTTATTTCCAGAGGAGGTTGCGCTTCAGTTTGCCCCAGACTTAGAACGAGGGAATAGAATTCCAGCCAGCTTTTTCCTTCCTCAGAGACCGCTGACCACTGCTGCTTTGTTCTCGCCTTTTCAGCTTGAGCAGTATTAACGCAGGGAAGCTCTCGCGTGGCGACCTCGGAGACTGTTTCATCCCCTGTACGCCAAAAGGATGCATGGAGCTCATCAGGCAGACAGGTAAGCGAGGAAAAACCACGTGGCCTCTTGCCTTGGTAAGGTCCTGGTGTGTTTTGCCGTGCTAGCGACAAAATATTAAGGAAAAGGGCTAAAATGTACAAGGCAAGAACTAATGAGTGCTCGAAATCATCAGGAAAGGAAAGGTATCTTCTACCACATGTGGTGGACTTGCAAAGAGGTAAAGGCTTTCTGGGAAATGGTATATAATGAGTTAAAGAAAATGCTTAAAAATACTTTTGTTAAAAAAACAGAAGCCTTTTTACTGGGTATAGTGGGTGAAGAGATACCGAGGGAAGATAAAAGACTCTATGTGTTCAACAACTGCAGCAAGAGTTATTTTAGCCAAAAAATGGAAATAACAAAAAGTACCAGCGAAAGAAGAGTGGCAGGTGAAGATGATGGACTTTGCAGAACTGGCAAAGCTGACAGGAAAAATCCAAAACCAGCGCAATCAAGTATCCCAAAGGGATTGTAGTAAATTTATATGATATCTGAAAGATTATTGTAAGCAATTAACGTCACTAGCAGGGCTGTTTGAAGACTTGTAATGAGAGATTTTCTGTCTTTCTATATTTATTTAAATTTTGAGCCATTCTGTAATGAGCGTAATTAGAATTGGAAAACGTATAAATTGCAATGATATAAAGGTTGATTTTGAAAGCCGTGAGGCGGGAGGGAAGGAAGTCGATAGGCTCTAAAGAGCCAGGGTAATGATGATGTGAATGTATAATATTAAATGGAAAATAAATAAAAATTATATTTATAAAAAAGATTAGGAGAAAGATGCCACCCTGCCTGTGGGGAAGCAAAGTGGCTCAGCGGTGTAGCTTCTGCTTTTTTCATGCAGTGGAATCCCACAAGCCCTAGAGGCTGAAATACGTCATTACCACGGCTCGGAATTTAGGCAAAACTAAGTTGTGTGTTCTGTGTTTCAGGTGTTCAGGTGGCTGGGAAAAGAGCCGTGGTGATTGGTCGCAGCAAGATAGTTGGCGCTCCGATGCACGACCTCCTGCTCTGGAACCACGCAACTGTGACGACATGCCACTCCAAGACTGCGTCCCTGGCTGAGGAGGTAAGGCTGGGAGGCGGGCGGGGTATAAATAAATAAATAAATAAATAAATAAATAAATAAATAAAAATTATGGTGCTTGGAAGTACAAAGTTGCCTTGGTGATACTATCTTGTGTCGATTTCGATTGCAGTAGTCATTTTATCAGCACCCTGTTCATTGTTTCCTTTTAGAAGTCAGCAGAGAGGATGCAGGGGACAAAGATAGGATTAGTAGGCTCTGCCCATCGTTGGCTCTGGCTCCACCTACTGTTGGCCTCCTGCATTACACCCTACTTCTTCTTCCTCTTCCTGTTCTTGTTGTTCTTCTAAATTTATTTATAGCTCACTTTTCCCCTCTGATGGGAACAGCTAAAACATGCAGGGGATTAAACAATATCCACACACACATGTATGTATACACAAATACACACCCACCCACCCATGCATAAAAATCTGTAACAACTATACAGATAATTACAATAAAAATAGTGCAGCGCCAGACTGACTTCTCAAGTGGAGGGGAGTTCCAGAGTCTGGGAGCAGCCACCGAGAAGGCCCTCTCCTACGTCCCCATCAAGCACGGGGTCAAGAGGGAAGGGCCTTGCAGGCCAAATGGACTCTAGCCACCACTGGGTTCTTCTCCTCTCTTCTCCCCGCCTTTAAACATTTATTTTAAAATAGAGTATTCGCTTTAAAGGGGTGGGGTAGGAGAGAGACTGAGGAAGAGGGAAGGGTAGTGGAGCATGCCTGGTGAACCTGGGTTGATGCAACCTCTGTTTGCAGGTCAGCAAAGCGGATATCCTGGTGGTTGCTGCTGGCAAGGCAGAGATGGTGAAAGGAGATTGGATCAAACCCGGCGCGGTCGTGATTGACTGTGGAATCAACCACATACCAGGTAATTTTTTAAAAAAGCATTGCACTATGTGAAATATGAGCAAGCCAGGGCTGAACTGATATTACCCTTGCTGGTACCTTTCCCGGGAAAATCAGAGGCTCACTATGTCAGGTTCCTATTGGAAGACCGGACAAACGCTAGAACATTAGCAGTGGCGAAGTTTTTAATCAGTGATTGTAAGAACCAATGATCCCTATCTTTAAGTCTGAACAAAATGCTTGTTTAACCTGGAGGTAGGCTGTCTGAATTGTGCAATGCTTTGTAACGATTTGTTGGGCCTCTGGACCGTAATAAAGATGGACTGTATAAAAACCTTACAAATTGATACTCATAAAACTATGCTGCAAGAAAAAAACAAAAAAGCGGCTTCTGTAAAACAAAAACATGAGAAGAGCCTGCAGGATCAGGCCAACAGTGGCCAGCCAGATGTCTGCGGGAAACCAGCAAGAGCGCTCTCCCCTCCTGTGGTTTCCAGTAACTGGTATAGAGTTGGAAGGGACCCTGAGGATCATCCAGTCCAACCCCGTGAAGTGCAGGAATATGCATCTGTCCCTTACAGGGATTGAACCTGCAACCCTGGCATTATCCGCACCACACTCTTACCGACTGAGCTATCCGCTACGGCCTCAAACTGTGGAGCCAGCACGCAGTAGCCGTTGAGAGCCTTATCCTCCGTGGAAATTGTCTAATCCTCCTTTAAAGAAATGCAATTTGGTGGTTATCGCTGCCTCTTACAGGAGCAAATTCCATATTTTTAAGTGCTATCATGATAGCCTCTTACTCACCTTTTCTCTTAAAAATCCTGAATGTTGCGACCTTCCCTCACAGCCCCTTAATTCGAAACAAAATAAAAAAATTCCTTCCAGTAGCACCTTAGAGACCAACTAAGTTAGTTATTGGTATGAGCTTTCTTGTGCATGCACACTTCTTCAGATACACTGAAACAGAAGTCACCAGACCCTTATATATAGTGAGAACGCGGGGAGGGGTATTACTCAGAAGGGTGGTGGGAATGGGCGATTGGCTGATAGGTGTAGTAAACCTGTTGACGACTGTTAACGACTGCAATAGGTCTTACAGGAAAAAGCAAGGGGTGAGATGGCTGAAAATAGCTTTATCATGTATAATGAGATAAGAATGCAATGTCTCTATTCAGACCAGGTCTCTCCATGGTTTTAAGTATGGTAATGAGTTGCAATTCAGCAACTTCTCTTTCCAGTCTATTTCTGAAATTCTTTTGTAATAAGACAGCTACTTTGAGATCTTGTATAGAATGTCCTGGGAGATCGAAGTGTTCTGCTACTGGTTTCTCTGTCTTGTGAATCCTGGTGTCAGATTTATGTCACATTTATCCTTTGGTGTAGGGTTTGGCCTGTTTGTCCAATATAGAGAGCTGAAGGGCACTGAAAGGAGGAGGAGGAGGAGGAGGAGTTTGGATTTGATATCCCGCCTTCCACTCTCTTTAAGGAGTCTCAAAGTGGCTAACATTCTCCTTTCCCTTCCTCCCCCACAACAAACACTCTGTGAGGTGAGTGGGGCTGAGAGACTTCAAAGAAGTGTGACTGGCCCAAGGTCACCCAGCAGCTGCATGTGGAGGAGCGGAGACGCAAACCCGGTTCCCCAGATTAGGAGTCTACCGCTCTTAACCACTACACTCACACTGGCTCTCTGAAAGCTCATACCAATAACAAACTTAGTTGGTCTCTAAGGTGCTACTGGAAGGATTTTTTTTATTTTGTTTCAACCACGGCAGACCAACGTGGCTACCTACCTGTAACTATCCCCTTGATTGTTTTGGTTGCCCTTTCCTGGACGTTTTTCCAACTCTGCAATATCCTTTCTGAGGTGAGGCAGCCAGAACTGCACATGGTATTCCAAAGGCAGCTGTGTAATGGCATCAGGAGTTTTATTTTCCTTTCCTAATACTCCCTAGCATGGATTTCACCAGTTTTCACAGCTCAGAAAGCTGAGAAGAAGTGACCGCTAAGTCTAGGAAGACTCCAAGGTCCGCGCAGCTTGGGAGCAAGAGACTTCCTCTGTTGGGGAGGAAGGGCAAGGGAGCTGGGCAGGATCCTGGCAACCAGAAATTGGGAGATGGCATCCAAAGCCCGAAATCTTGCGCCCTCCCCCATCCCTCCCATAACAAAGCAGCTTCCATACTCCATTGGGTTGACAAGCGACTTCAGCAAGCCGTGATTGTCACCATGTTAAATAAAATTATGGAGTCATAGGAGTGCTTTTTTTATGAAAAAAACCCCCACTTTCCATTAGATAATTGCAATAAATCACTTATAAAAACAGGCTTCATGGAAGTGCAGTTAAGTGGGAGGATAGCAACAGCCTGACAGGTGTGACTAATCCTCTTATTTAAGAACCTGAGAGTTAGATTCTTAAGCGCAAGGTGCGGGCGGGGGAGAGAAATGCAGCAAAGAAGTGTTTCGAAAGAAGCAATCTATGCCAGCCAGCCTCTGGTTCATTAATTGAGTTCTTAGAGCTGTCAACGAAGAGCAGGGCAGAAAAATCTTGGTCTCTGCATCCAAGCAGGGATAAGTGAGAGGTGTAGTTTACGTCTGCCGTTTTGCATCACTTCGCAGGCCAGGTATCTAGAGAAAGGGCTGCCCCCCCTCAAACAAGGTGGGAGGAGCTTTTCCAGCATGGTTGCCCCATGAGCAACCTTTTTGTGCTTGTGGGCAAGGGCGGAGGAAAAACTGGGATGGAGCAACGGATTTGGCTCTCACTTGGCGCATTCCCTCCGTGCAAAATTCAGGGGTGCACCTGCTCCTTTCTCTATCCCCCCCCCAAACTACCAAGGCAAACCGTCGCAGTCCAGGGACCTATCCCAGTGACACAAAGGCACTTGAGTGAAAGGTGGGTCCAGGGGGCTGTGCTGTGGGGCAGGCGGGGAAGTTCGGAAGCCGCCTGTCCACCGGGTCAGACCATTGGCACCTCTCGCTCAGTGACTGTGACCCTTCAGGGTCTCATGTAAGGAGATGCTCTGGGCCCAAGTTTTATGAATTAATGGAGGAACCAGTGTTTCTCAAACTTGGGTCGCCAGCTGTTGTTGGACTACAGTTCCCAGCATCCCTGAAGAAGAAGAGTTTGGATTTGATATCCCGCTTTATCACTACCCTAAAGGTAAAGGGACCCCTGACCATTAGGTCCAGTCGTGACCGACTCTGGGGTTGCAGCACTCATCTCGCTTTATTGGCTGAGGGAGCCAGTGTTCAGCTTCCGGGTCATGTGGCCAGCATGACTAAGCCGCTTCTGACGAACCAGAGCAGCGCACGGAAACGCCGTTTACCTTCCCGCCGGAGCGGCACCTATTTATCTACTTGCACTTTGACGTGTTTTCGAACTGCTAGGTTGGCAGGAGCAGGGACCGAGCAACGGGAGCTCACCCCGTCGCGGGGATTCGAACCACCGACTTTTTGATCGGCAAGTCCTAGGCTCTGTAGTTTAACCTGCAGCGCCACCTGCGTCCCTCACTACCCTAAGGAGTCTCAAAGCAGCTAACATTCTCCTTTCCCTTCCTCCCCCACAACAAACACTCTGTGAGGTGAGTGGGGCTGAGAGACTTCAGAGAAGTGTGACTGGCCCAAGGTCACCCAGCAGCTGCATGTGGAGGAGCAGGGAAGCGAACCCGGTTCACCAGATTACGAGTCCACTGCTCTTAACCACTACACCACACTGGCTCTGACTGCTGATCCTGCTAGCTAGGGATGATGGGAGTTATAGTCCAACAACACCTGGCGACCCGAGTTTGAGAAATGCTGTGCAGTTCAACAGCACCTGGAGGCTGCCTGTCTCTGAGTTGACTTATTTTGCGATCCAAGCCCAGCTTGGAAAGGTTTTACACACACATTGTTCAAGAGGGGTCCCACCTGGCTTGGGACCCTTCTGAGAGGGAGGCAAGTTGCTTTGTAGGGCGGGCAGGAAACTTTCCTTCTGTCTTTAACTTTCATTAGAACCCCAGCCGAAGATTCCCCTTTAGAATGGGTCTCTTTTTATAAAGTGCCTCCACTTCCAATAGAACTATTTCACACCGGGATTTGTGAAGGAGATAGCCATCTTCACATATCTCAAGGGATGTCACACAGAGGATGGAGCAAGCTTGTTTTCTCCTGCCCTGGAGGGTAGGACTCGAACCAGTGGCTTCAAGAAAGGAGATTCCGACTAAACATCAGGAAGAACTTTCTGGGAGTAAGAACTGTTCGACAGTGGAACAGACTCCCATGAGAGGTTGTGGACTCTCCTTCCTGAAGGCTTTTAAGCAGAGGTTGGGTGGCGCATTGCAGGCAGTGCCGAATTTACATATAACCCGAACAAGCTATAGCTTAGGGCCCCACTCTCTTGGGGGCCCCCAAAAAAATTAAAGGAAAAAAACCTGGATGTACATTTCCAAAATAAAAGATAAACAAAACAAAACCTACATGCAACAACAGTGTTTTGTGTTGCGTAGGCTCCTATGATATATTTCACTATGAATATACTTCTTAATTGTATTTCAGTTCAACAATTACTTTGATAAAATACATATTTTGTTATGTGCAAATGGCTTTAGATGATGATGATAATAATAATAATAAATTTTATTTATACCCTGCCCTCCCTGGCCAGAGCCGGACTCAGTGCAGCTAACACCAGTAAAACTACAATAAAAACATAATGGGGGGGGGGACAATTTAAAATACAGGTTAAAATGCAATTTAAAATGCAGCCTCATTTTAAAAGTAGCCCATAGATCAAAACCATACTGGGAAGGAAACATAAGGGTCAGACTGAGTCCAAACCAAAGGCCAAGCGGAACAGCTCTGTCTTGCAGGCCCTGCGGAATGATGTCAAGTCCCGCAGGGCCCAAGTCTCTTGTGACAGAGCGTTCCAGCAAGTCGGGGCCAGTACTGAAAAGGCCCTGGCCCTAGTTGAGACCAATCTAACCACCTTGCGACTTGGGACCTCCAAAATGTTGTCATTTGTGGACCTTAAGGTCTTCCGAGGGGCATACCAGGAGAGGTGGTCCCATAGGTACGTGGGTCCTAGGCCATGAAGGGCTTTAAAGGTCACCTCAAACCCTCTAGGCCTGGCCCCTGGGAGACTCCCCAGGCCATGCACCGACCCTAGCCACACCGCTTGAAAGCAGGAGAATAGGTTGAGAGGAGGTAAAGTGGACAAGCGCAGACTTCTGCATGTGGGATATAATTCTCAGAGACATTGAGAGCATTTGCAGGCCTGGGAGCTGTCAGATGGAGGCTCCATCTCTGCCCTGGACATCAGTTTGACGGCGGCTGCTATGGAGACGCAGGCAGCTGATCTGAAAGTTCAAAAGGGGAGGCAATAATTTAATGATCTTGAGAATAATTGCCATTGTTCTGCTGGTTAATATTGAGGTAGAGATTTAAAACAGCCCAATTTCAGGATCAAAGTCATATTTTTTTTAAAAGGATATATTGAAATAGAATCTTATTGGATGAAATGGGCTACAGTATGGAGCTGGTATTGAATTAGGCATGAAGCTTGAATTCTTTATTTTTGAAATGTGGGTATAATTACATAAAAGGATAATGTGCTCTAAAGATCCCTGCTGCATAAGCTGAAGTCTAGAGCAGCCATTGCTAACCTTGCGGCTTACAGATGTTTAGGACAAAAAACTCCCATCGCAGCTAGCTGGGGCTGATGGGAATTTTAGGCTGAAACACCTGAGGGATGCCAGGCTGCCAGGGAAGGTTCTGGAAGGTGAGATGGTGTGAAAAGCGCTGACGATTCCACCGATCCCTTTCCTCAAGAAATGACTGCCAACATAGAGTGTGACAGATGTGTTTTGTTTTTTTAACCTGATTTTTTTTTGAAAGTTTTCAACGTACCATACACTAAAAACCAAACTAATCTAAATAAAAATAGAGAAGAAAACAAAACAAAAAAGACAGAGAGAAAATAGAGACGGGCGGAAGAGAAGGAGAGAAAGAATAATAAAATACAGAGCCCTCTATCGAGGTAGATCTTAACCCTTTCGTTGTTGTTTAGTCGTTTCCGACTCTTCGTGACCCCCTGGACCAGAGCACGCCAGGCACTTCTGTCTTCCACTGCCTCCCGCAGTTTGGTCAAACTCATGCTAGTAGCTTCAAGAACACTGTCTAACCATCTCGTCCTCTGTCGTCCCCTTCTCCTTGTGCCCTCAATCTTTCCCAACATCAGGGTCTTTTCCAGGAAGTCTTCTCTTCTCATGAGGTGGCCATCCTAAACAAAAGCAAGTGGACCCTCCCAGCTCTTACCTGGGGAGCTGCCCAGAGTGACTTGGGCAACCCAGTCAGATGGGTGGGGTACAATTATTATTATTATTATTATTATTATTATTATTATTATTATTATTATTATATTTATTTCATTTTATTTCATTTTTTATTTTTTTTATTTTCTCACAGCCAGTGTGAGAGACGCATATGAACTTTTCTCCAGTACAGTGGTACCTCGGGTTAAGAACTTAATTCGTTCTGGAGGTCCATTCTTAACCTTAAACTGTTCTTAAGTACCACTTTAGCTAATGGGGCCTCCTGCTGCCGCCGCGCGATTTCTGTTCTCATCCTGAAACAAAGTTCTTAACCTGAGGTGCTATTTCTGGGTTAGCGGAGTCTGTAACCTGAAGCGTCTGTAACCTGAGGTACCGCTGTATTTTAAGATAACCTCCCTTGTCAAGAGGACTAGACTCTTTGCATAGGGGCCTGTGTTTGTGTGTACAGTGGTACCTTGGTTTTCGAAAGTTATCTGTTCCGGAAGACTGTTCTACTTCTGAAACGTTCGAAAACCAAAGCATGCGTTTCCGGAAGCATTTACATCCGGAAAACTCAACACAGACATTCAAAAACTGAAAAGCGTTCAAAAACCGAAGCAGTTACTTCCGGGTTTTTGGCGTTCAAAAGCCGAAACGTTTGACTCCTGAGACATTTGAAAGCCACTTTATTTAAATGATAGCTGAAAAACCTGTGGAACCACTGGGATATTTCACTTTGTGTGTCTGCAATGCAAAACAAACGAAGATAAATTGAGTTCCCTTCTGTGTGGCATTTCACCCCTTTTCTCTGCTTTCAACGGCTGTTTTTTCTGAAGAGAGGCGGAGGCATCTAAATGCTTGAAAAGTTTCTTCCCTTCCTTTAGGCTATACCAACATTTTTTCCTTCCAAGGTACTGCTTAAAATTGCTGCGGACAGGTCTGGCTTGGATAAGTGTAGGAATAAGATGGCAACTCAACTTTCTTTTTTTAAACGTACCCTACATAAGAAGATCAGGCCACGGCCCTACATTGTGGTATCATGGTGGCCAACTAGATGCCTATGGGAAGCCCCCAAGCAAAACTCAGAGGCCTCGGCGCTCTCCCAAAACGAAATTCCCCGCAACTGGCGTTCAGAAGGACGCTGCCTTCCACAGGGGAGATAGAAGAAGATAGCCATTGTGGCCAACGGTCGTTGATAGCCTTATCCTCCAATAACGTGTCCAATCTGCTTTTAAAGTCATCTACAGTGGCACCTCAGGTTAAGTACTTAATTCCTTCCGGAGGTCCCTTCTTAACCTGAAACTGTTCTTAACCTGAAGCACCACTTTAGCTAATGGGGCCTCCGGCTGCCACCGCGCCGCCAGAGCACTATTTCTGTTCTCATCCTGAAGCAAAGTTCTTAACCTGAAGCACTATTTCTGGGTTAGTAACCTGAAGCGTATGTAACCTGAGGCACCACTGTACTTTGATGGCTACTGTTATGATATTGTGGGAGCGTATTTCCTGGTTTATTTACTGTGTGAAGGAGCACTTTAATTTTGTCTGTCCTTAATCATAGAATTTTATTATTAATTTTGAGTGAAATTTTTATTAAACTTTAGAATCTTAACAAATATATACAGTGGTACCTCAGGTTACAGACGCTTCAGGTTACAGACGCTTCAGGTTACAGACTCCGCTAACCCAGAAATAGTGCTTCAGGTTAAGAACTTTGCTTCAGGATGAGAACAGAAATCGTGTGGTGGGGGCGCGGCGGCAGCAGCAGGAGGCCCCATTAGCTAAAGTGTTGCTTCAGGTTAAGAACAGTTTCAGGTTAAGAACGGACCTCCGGAAAAAATTAAGTACTTAACCTGAGGTACCACTGTATTCCAGATTCCAAACTTGTTATACATTTCTCTTTAAACTTTGACTTTCTTGCCTTTCCTTCCATGCGGTTCATAAACTCATCCCATTTGCTTACTGCGTTTTAATAAACATTTCGCCTAAGACATGTTATTCTATTTCATATATTATCAATCTCCTACCGCTACCCGTATTTCAAATCCTGCTCGCAATTTCATCTGATTATAACATTTTTTCAGATATCCCCAAAAAGGGCTTCTATGAATACCCTGTGGCGTTGGTTTCTTATTTTTGCAGTTAGTTCTGCCAGCTCTGCATAATCCATTAGCTTTGAAATCCATTCTTCTTTGGTTGGTGTTTTCTTACTAGTTTTTCATGTGCAAGATAATTGCATTCATAAACAAGTTAATTTTACATGCTTTCTGTTGTGTTGCCTCTTAGCCTATCCTGCGCATGATCTTGTATCTAAATACAGTGGTGCCCCGCAAGACGAATGCCTCGCAAGACGGAAAACCCGCTAGACGAAAGGTTTTTCCGTTTGCGATGCGCTTCGCAAGACGAATTTCCCTATGGGCTTGCTTCGCAAGACGAAAATGTCTTGCGAGTCTCGCCATTTTTCCCCGCTCCCCCCCCTTTTCTAAGCCGCTAATAGCCTTTTAGCAGCCAAGCCGCTAAGCCTTTAATAGCCGCTAAACCGCTAATAGCGCTAAGCCGCTTAGCCGCTAATGGGGTTGCTTCGCAAGACGAAAAAACCGCTAGACGAAAAGAATCGCGGAATGGATTCTTTTCGTCTTGCGAGGCACCACTGTAGCGCTATAGGAAGCCATAGAATGAGCTATGCATTTATATGCCACTTTTCCTTCAAGGAGCTCACAGTGGGGTACGTGGATTTCCCCATCTCCATTTTATCTTCACAACAGCCCTGTGAGAGGTTGCGTCTGGCCCAAAGTCACCCAGTGAGCTCCATGGCTGAGTGGAGGATTTGAACCCAGGTCTCACAGACCCTAGTCCAACACTCTAACTGCTACACTGCACTGGTTCTCTGAAACAGTGCAGATTAGCAGTTAGGATGTTGGACACTTCAATGTCATTGAGGTGTGCCATCTGTATTAGCTAGCCACAAGTGCTTGCAATTTGACTGAATGGGTTTTTTAAAAAAGAAAAAGAAGGGAAAAGATTTGGCTAAGGCAGCTCTGGCTCCATGGCATTAATGCAGGATTATTCTTCATGCCCACCCCCCCTTGCCCTGCAAATCCCAAGCTATCTTGCTGCCTTGCAAAGTCTTAAGAAAAGCATGATGTATCAGCCGCTTATAAAAATGGTACACGCAGGAGTTTTTGAGCAAGCCTTGCTCTTTGATAAATTTATTTTTTCTTTCTCTTTTTTGCATTTTTATATCCACGTCCTCCTGAGTGGTTCACAAATTAAAATCTGCAAAACACAAATCCGGTCTGCGTGTAAACGATTGCTGCTGCTGCAGCTACACTATGGGCAGAACTGAACGTCGAACCAGCATAAGGCAGCATGGAGGAGCGTGAACACGGATAAAAACAGCGCTAAAACCCAGGGAGTGGGGAAATCCTCAAGGGGAGTCTTTCTGGGTGAGCTGTGCAGTTCACCAGCTTAACAGCACGGCAATTATTAGTGAAACCTGAAAGAGGAGGAGAAACAGAGTGGTCTGGTGTGTTGCCTTAGCGCTGCCAAGAGATTATGCATGTGTGTTTCTGCCTTGCAAAGATGTTCCCAGGCCTTTTTCCTGCTTATTCTTTGTATTGCTCTGATGCGCACTCTCCCCTTATCTCTCTCTCGCACACAGACAGTACGAGGGCAAGTGGGAAAAGGGTCGTTGGCGATGTGGCCTACAGCTCGGCCAAGGAGAAGGCAGGTTACATCACCCCGGTCCCTGGAGGTGTCGGGCCAATGACAGTTGCCATGCTGATGCAGGTGTGTGCCCTTGGTTCGCGGAGAGAGCGCAGTGGTTGTACCTGTGGGAGGCATATGGGTTGTGTTGCTCTCCCACAACCCCACCCTCAAAACTCTGCTTTCCCCCAGAACAACTGCACATTGTGTACAGGTGGGAGGGGGGAGGAATGGTTGTGGGTCCTCTAGGGTGTTCTCTCTCTCTCTCTCTGTGTGTGTGTGTGTTTGTCCCACCTTTTGGCGTGAGCATAAATTGCAGATGTGAGGGCGCAGCTGCTACCTATGAATGCATGCTTGTAAATGATAAATAATGGGATTATTATTATTCTATTTGACTTTTAGGAGACATCAGAAGGCAGCTCTGTATAAGGAAGTTTTTAATGTTTGATGTTTTGTTGTGTTTTTCATATTTTGTTGGGAGCCGGCCAGAGTGGCTGGAACAATCCAGTCAGATGGGCAGCGTATTATTATTATTATTATTAGTATTATTATTAATTTATTTGATGGGGCTGCTTGTCTCTGGTGTATGTCTGTGTTTTTTGTCTGCCATTAGCCATGATGGCCCCCATACGTTAGTTGATTTTTAAAAAAACTTGTTTGTGATAGTTTTGTAACATTGTAAGCTGCTTGTAAGTCCGTCTCTGTCGCATGGTGCTGGTTTTGACTTTTAAAGCCCTTCACAGCCTAGGACCCCCGTACCTACGGAACCGCCTCTCCTGGTATGCCCCACGGAGGACCTTAAGGTCCATAAATAGCAACACCCTAGAGGTCCCAGGCCCTAAGGAAGTCAGATTAGCCTCAACCAAAGCCAGGGCCTTCTCAACACTGGCCCCAGACTGGTGGAACGCTCTGTCTCATGAGACCAGGGCCCTGCGGGATCTGATCTCTTTCCTCAGGGCCTGTAAGACAGAGTTGTTCCACCTGGCCTTTGGCTCAGAATCAGTTTGATTCCCTCCCCCTCTTTCTTTTCCTTTCTCCTCCTATGAAGAGATTGTTTTAATGTTGTATCTTAATCTTTTAAATTGTATTTTAATCAACTTGTTTTTATTATTGGTTGTTAGCAGCCCTGAGCCCGGTCTTGGCTGGGGAGGGTGGGGTATAAATAAAAATTTATTATTATTATTATGAAGAGCTATATAAATTGCTGGAATAAATAGAAACCTCTAGTATTTCTGATCACTATGCCTCTAAATAGGGGCAGATTGGAGTCTGTCACCTATTATCCTTGACCATTGGACATGCTGGCTACAGACGACAGGTCCAATAGCATCTGAAGGGCCACAGGCTCTCAAAATATAAACCACGGTGATGATTTAACCTTTGTATCCTGGCTTTCTGCTGATGTAATCAGAGTATCTGACAGCAGAGATCAGAAACGATAATTCTAAAATGCAGTAACTAATGCTGTAAACAGTTATGGTCCTTTGTTTTATATCCTGCTTTTTTGGGGGGGGATAATCTAAAATTGGCTTCAAGGGCAACAGAAATAATAATTGGCCTTCCCCCAAAACCTGCCCAAGCAACCAGGTTGTAATGAAGATGTTAGAACGAGGCAGGGGTTGGAGGTGTTGAGGCCAGGCTTCTTAGAGAGTGCATTCCATAACAGCAGTGCCACAACCAAAAAGGCCCTGTAGCTTGTACCCACCTGCGTCACAATGAGTGGAGGTTCTTGGTGCAGGACCTTAGCTCCTGGCTGAAGTCTTCATGAGGGATCTATGGAAAAGGGCAATCCTTCGGGCACCACCCAGGGGACCTAAATTCTGCACCAGAAATGCAGGAAATGCAAATTTGAAATGCAAATTTGCAGAATATGCATGATTTGAATCCCCGAGGAGTGGGAGACAGAGAGCTCTGTACTTATCTTTGGACATAAATGCTCCGTGCCCTTCCTCTGGTTTCAGCAGGCATAAGAATAATAAATAATAAAAAATAATAAAAAATTATTTATACCCCGCCCTTCCTGGTTCAGAAAACCGGGCTCAGGGCATCTAACAACAAATTTAAAACACTTAATTGATGCAACAAAAAACAGCATAAAATGCAGTATAAAACATGAATAACAATAAATTCAGAATTCAAAAATCAATTTAGGGGGGGGGGATCTATCCAATTAACATTAGATGATCACCAGGGCTAGCTGGCTAAGTTAGTCCTATTTGGGCCAGCAAGGAGACCAGGAGAGAATTAGCTGTGGGATCCCAGAGTGGGTAATCTTCATAAAAAGGGGAGGGGAATAAATGATCAGGCTAAGTTCAAATTGAAAGCCAGGCAGAATAGCTTTGTCTTACAGGCCCTGCGGAAGGAAGTTAAATCCTGTAAGGTCCCTGGTCTCATGGGACAGAGCATTCCACCAGGTCGGAGCCATCACTGAGAAGGCCCTGGCCCTGGTGGAGGATAATCTGACTTCCTTAGGGCCTGGGACTTCTAAACTATGATTATTCATGGACCTTAAGAAGAGAGCCTGGCTGCAGAATCAGGCCACTGGTCCACCTAGTCCAGTATCCTGTTATCACAGTAGCCAGCCAGACGCCTGTGGAAAGCCTGCAGGACTTTGAGTTCAACCGCACTCTCGCAGCTAGTATTCAGAGGGAGAACACAGCAGTTGCGTGCCAGGTGTGTGCTGGGCTCCTGTTCTGTCTTGCCTGTGACATTGTTGACTGACCTGCTGGAACGTTTTGTGTGATGGACCTTTCCTTGGTTTGCTTCTTTGTTTTTCAATACGAATTTAGAGCACTGTAGAAAGTGCGCAGCGCTTTCTGGAGAAATATCAGCCCGGCAAGTGGAATATTCAGTATAACCAGCTAATCCCTAGAACGCCCGTTCCAAGGTAAGGAACAATTTATGGCTAGAAGGCCATTGATAGAGATTATTTCATTCTGGTTTTTGCCTGAATTTATATGGGGGGGGGGTGTTGGGGCATGGGATAGGGGGTGTTGTTTTTATTAAGTCTTTGTAGAGGTCCATCATGTTCTCTCCACCACTCACAGCAGAATGGGGTGATAGAAACTTGGAACTGATGGAATATATTTCTGTGGTCTGCAAATCGGTGAGGCAATTGATTTTTGTTGAATTTTCAGGGATTTTATAATATTTTATATAATATAATATTTTATAATAATAAATTTATATAATATAATATTTTATAATAAAAAAAATAATCTAGGTGGTTGTTGTTGTTTTAAAACAAGGTCTATCTTCCCCCAATCTGGGGAAGATCATGTGGATCTTAATCTCAGGGTTGTGCATTTGAGCTCCACATTGAGCAGAGTAAAGGTAAAGGGACCCCTGACCATTAGGTCCAGTCGTGACCAACTCTGGGGTTGCGGCGCTCATCTCGCTTTATTGGCCGAGGGAGCCGGCGTACAGCTTCCGGGTCAAGTGGCCAGCATGACTAAGCCGCTTCTGGTTAAACGAGAGCAGTGCACGGAAACACCGTTTACCTTCCCGCCAGAGCGGTACCTATTTATCTACTTGCACTTTGACATGCTTTCGAACTGCTAGGATGGCAGGAGCAGGGACCGAGCAACGGGAGCTCACCCCATCGCGGGGGATTCGAACCACCAACCTTCTGATCAGCAAGGCCTAGGCTCTGTGGCTTAACCCACAGCGCCACCCGCGTCCCTACATTGAGCAGAGAGAGCCTTGCAATTGCAGGGGTGTGGTGGACCAGATGATCCTTGTATGATGCCTTCCAGCTCCGCAATTCTGTGGTTCTAGGAATATCTCCAGATGTTATGGCTGGGACTGACAGGTGTTGTAGTTTTAAAACAGCTGGAGGGCACCCAAGATGAGAGCTCACTCTGGTCCATCCTTCTCCTGCTAATTTTCCAGCTCTCCTTTCATATAGGCGAGCACTCAGAAACATGACTCCCCCTACACACGCACAACTGTAGTGGGGAGAGGCAGTGTGGTGTTGTGATTAAAGTAGTGGGCTACAGCCCGGGAGACCTGGGTTCGAATCCTCACTCGGCCATGAACTTCACTGGGCCAGCGATCTATAACTCAGCATTAAAGCCGCTTCCTATAGTCCTGCGTATCGTCACTCCGTAGAACTCTTCCTCACCGCCCTCTTGTTGACTTTCAGCGACATTGAAGTATCCCGGTCCTGCTTCCCCAAGCCCATCGGCCAGCTGGCCAAGGAGATCGGTCTGCTCTCAGATGAGGTGCAACTCTATGGCCAGTGCAAGGCCAAGATTTCGCTGTCGGCGCTGAAGCGCCTGAAGGACCAGCCCGACGGCAGATACGTTGTCGTAACGGGGTAGGTTTCATGCCTCCGTTTCTGCTACTATGGTCGGCTCGTAGCCTTTTTCGGTTGGGGACATTGGGGAGCAGGGAGCAGCTTGCCAGGTGGGGTGGAACCAGCCAGTGGCATAACGTGGATTTCCAGTGCCCGGGGCTGCTTGGAGCTGGGTGGGTGGGAGAGAGGGATGGAAACAGACAGAATATGCATGCACATTCAACTGCCTAATGGTGTCCGCGTCACTCAGGAGTATGGCAGCCACAGTGATAAGAAAAGAAGAGTCGTTCGCTGGAAGTGCATGTCGAGATCTCCGCTCGGCCAAGCTGATAAAGCTCATCTTCCTCCGAGTCCTTCGGAATCGCCCCCGACGAATAATTAACGACCTGAGCCTTTGATGAGGCCTCAGGCACGTTCCCCCATTCAGCAGAGAATCCAAAACAACACGCGGAAGTGATGAGATTTATGGCTACATGCTATGCTTTATTACTAAGCTACGCAGAGAGGAAAGGAAAATACATCCTCTCTCTGTGAGAGCTGAGAGCAATTGAACAACAAAGGAACAAAGGAACAGGAAACCAGTAACGTCACATCCGTCTCCCTTCTCCCCTGAGACTTCCAACAGCCTGGAATGTCTCTGGAATGTAAACAGAGTCCTGTGACTCCAAGCAGCTGCTCAGTGGCAAAACAGAAACTAACAGTGCACAGCTGTGTTCAGGCAGCTCTGGGTGCTGAAATTGTGCACCCCAAACAATTTTGTGCCCAGTGCAGCTGCCCCTGTGGCCCTTCCCATGCTATGCCACTGGCTGGAGTCGCTGCACTGACTTCCCAGGAGGCAGGTGGTGGTTGTTTGCTGGGAGGGGCAGAGGTGAGACAGCACGAGATCGGCATCGTGGCCATCCTGTGATTTGCTGGACTCCAAAGAGCTTGTCTTGAGCTTTGAATACCAGCACTAAGGGTGCATGCGGGAGAGCACCTTGTTCATAGCCTGTCGGCTTTGCCCGAAGGAAGCGGGTGCATTTTCCCAATCCCTTGGGTGTTTTTTTTTCATTTCAGTATAACGCCCACACCCCTGGGAGAAGGGAAAAGCACCACAACAGTGGGACTGGTTCAAGCACTGGGAGCATACCTTGGTCGGAATGCCTTTGCCTGCGTTCGGCAGCCTTCGCAAGGACCCACGTTTGGAATTAAAGGTACGTAAAGGTTCCAACAGCCTCTTCTTATGTCCAGGGTGCACCTGGAGATGCTGGGAGGGGGGGGTTAAACCTGGAATCTTCTGCATTCAAGGCAGATGCACTGCTACAAGCTACATCCCTTCCCAGAACATTACTGAAAATATTGTTTCCGGTACCAGTAATTTGGACTTGAAAGTTATGAGATAACACAAGACAACTTACAGATAAGCACACGATCTACTTTCATCTCTTGTAATCGGATGCAGGAGGTTTTCGGGCAAGCCTTTTTCTTGACACCCATCACTGCTCAGAGAAGTTTGTCAGTTTTAGAAGCCTGTGCATCCTCTTCATAATCTAAAGATGCTCACACTTTTAAGAAATTTAAAGAATATCTAGCTAAATGTTGTAATATAAGATAAATAGAAAATTATTGGAAGTAATAAATAGGCTAAGGGGTAGAGTAAGAATATGTGGTAGTAAATATTAAGGATTAGAATATTAATAAAAGAGAAGAGGTTAGTAAATGAAAGGAGAATATTATTAGAAATATGAATTTGGAGACCTGTTAAACAGGTGATATAATGAAATTCAGTTAGAGGGGATTTGAGGAAGTCAGTTATCAATGTAATGAAAATTAGGGATTTGAAGTAATAATTCTTTGTTTTCCCCCCTCTTTTTCTCTGTTGTGTGTTTTGTAATGTTTTCTTTTTCTTTCTGTGATAAATGTGAAAATCAATAAATAAAAAAAAAAGATGCTCACGCTTTTTGCAAGCGCGGTCTGATGAATGCCATCCTTCCTTTTATACAGGTGGTGCGGCTGGAGGTGGATATTCTCAGGTTATTCCTATGGAGGAGGTAACTTGACTCCTTAATTTATGATAGCATTCGAGACAAAACGGTTGATGTGGGATTAGCTCAGTCGGTAGAGCACGAGACTCTTAATCTCAGGGTCGTGGGTTTGAGCCCTGCATTGGGCGAAAGATTTCTGCAATTCGGGGGGTTGGAACTTTTTCTACGATACCCACTTCCCTAGACCTCTGGGAATTTTGCAGTGTGACATCAAGAGACGGCTCTTGTCTCTTACCTATCACAGAGCAATTTTCTAACCTCGCCTACAGGAACATTGCTATTAATATTTCCCTCTCCAGCTCATAGTCCTGTTTTGGGACTTGCTGGGCTTTAACAGAGGATTTGAGGTTGTTGTTGAGGCCCTCCTCACCCCGATCCAATTTGTCTCCCCGTTTTTTGTCATGGAAATTCTACTCAATATTGATCCAGGGTAGATTCCATTTTATAGTTAGCAGAGTAAAAAACGTAAACATGTTGCAGGATTCCCCCCAAAAATAGACCAGAGGCAATTGTATTTCATCCAGCAGAGCTTTACTGCCACTGAAGGCAAATGAGCATAATGGTCACCCCACTCCTACTTACCATCCCAGGCCGCCAATCTGCAGCCACATTGTTCTTTTTGTTGTCAGATCAAAATGAACAGACAACAGCAAAGGTTGCTAGGTTTATTGAGGGTGCAGTGAGATTAAAGGCCACTATCTGAACGATAATCTTGATCATTTGATTGCCCATTTTACCCATTGTTGTTTTTTTAATTGTATATATTGCTTGTTTTATGTTGCTATGGCTGTTGGCTAATGTGAATAAAGTTTATCTATCTATCTATCTATCATTAAGTTTATCTATCTATCTAATGGTCACAAATCCAATACATTCAGGATTGGCACTGTCCATAAGAAATCCAGTTGCAGCAGACTTAACGTAAACTTGCAGTAACTTATAATAAAGTCTGAATCTTAACACTAAGCATACTATGTACAGAACACCACACCAGGAGGAAAGAGAGATAGAAAGAGAAAGTGTGAAACCCAGGCTCCTTCTGGCCTATTTTTATAGTCAGCAATGACCTTGACTGAAAGAGATAACAGAACTAGTTTAAACTAGCTGCACTCAGCTTCTCTGAAGGAATAACCCAAACATCATGAACCTTCTTTCACACAGGGAAGCTTCCAGAACCCTCTTGAATTAATTAGAATAGGAAAGATCTCAACACATCAGATCAGTGCTTTCTGCACTAAGAAATGCAAACTGACATTTTCCGTCCTCTCTAGTTCAATCTCCACCTTACTGGTGACATCCACGCCATTACTGCAGCCAATAACCTGGTCGCTGCCGCTATTGATGCCCGCATCTTCCACGAGGCCACGCAGTCTGATCAGGTAACACAGTGCGATTTATCTTTTTCCCTGTAGCATGTGTGTGTGTGTGACTTGTAGAGTGCCCTGCAGCTACTAATGAAGTGTTTTTTCTCCTTAAGGCTCTCTATTCCCGATTGGTCCCTTCTGTTGACGGCACCAGGAAGTTCTCCAACGTCCAGATCCAGAGATTGCGGGTGAGTTTGCAGAGCCTGTTCCGGTAACAAACTTCCAGATCCCTTCCGTGTGGATGTTTCATGGACTATATACTCAGGGATGTGACCATCTTGCATGTTCGCAAGCATAGAATTTGGTGCAAAGCCCAGAATCCTTTTATTTCATTTTAATAACTTGTACTGAAAACAGCAAAGCATAGAAAAAACCGGGCAAACAGGAGGCAAAATATGCAAGGTTGGGTATCTGGCAAATGTATGCAAAGAGAAAAAAGTTACAAAATTGAAAAATCACACTTTTCGGACTAATCAAGAGCACCTAATGAAGTCATATTTGTGCATCAGTGTTGTCATGTAAGCCATCAGGAGCCAGCAGACAGTTGCAAAACCCAGAATCTTGGCCCTGTAATTTATGAGATTTGCACCCAGGCAAAGTGTAATGTACTATGCCAGCCCTTACCAATGCCCTCCAGCTGTTTTGGTGGATAGTCTGAAAGAGCTGAAGGGCACCAAGTTGGAGAAGGCTGATTTGTACAAGTCTCTCTCTATTTCTTCAGGAAAATCTGGCTCTACATTATATATCTTTTTTCAAATTAGGCTCCTGTTCAAGTTAGCTAGGCAGGAAACACACTTAGGACCCATATCTATAGCTGGCCCATTGAAGCTGAAATTCTGGCTTTAAAAAATTCTGTCACTTACATCATTCCTGGTTTGCACAGGATGCTAACCCATGGCTTAAACAAACCATGGCTCAGAGTTATGTGCAAACCATGCTTTTTCACATTTCTTCTTGGCAGGTTTCAAGTTTCAGCCTAGGCTTTTAGAAGCAGCTCTCCCTTTATTATTTTGTTTTAAGAACGATTCCAACCCCCTCCCCCATGAAGTTGCTCATTTCCTATAACTACCCACCATCTTATTTCTCTCCCCCTCCTTTCGTTCCTCCTCAGAGATTGCATATTGAGAAAACAGACCCAAGGGCTTTGACGGATGATGAAATAAACAAATTTGTGAGATTGGATATTGATCCAGACAGCATAACATGGCAAAGAGGTATTGGCGCAAAAATAACCCACAGTGGGCAAAGTAGAAAGACGTTTAGAAGCGTGCGAGAGTTTGAGCTTTAGTATTTGTGTGTGTACAAAAAAAAATGGTTTAAGGTTTAGACTTAGAGATTCCTACTTATTTCCCTCCACTGCCTGTCCCCATCCCAGAGCCTTCAATGTTAGCCGAAATCTGATTGCACACAGATTATAGGTAGTTATGGTCCTCCGCTTCCCGTGTAGCAGAACTGTCCATCCTCCAAGGAGACGGCCGTTGCTTCTCTGCACGAGTCATTGCTCTGGGCTTGCCGACTTCCAGTCAGGAACATCCCCAGAATTACAGAGTTACTGATAGGGCTGGCTCAAGATTTGAGGAGGGCCCTGTGCAACATCCCCTCTGCTGGGCCTTCTCCTTCCCATGTGCTCCCTCTCGGTGGGCTTATGTGGCAGCAGGAAGTGGCCGGCAGAGATGTTCCGGTCAGCACAGGGAGCTACCATTTAATTTGATTTTCTTGGCAGGCTAGCCGCCCGGACGCTGCTGGGCAGCTCTTGAGATGTAGCTGCTCAGCGCTGATTGGAACGCTTGAGGAAACTGTTGACCTCTAAAAGTTTTTGGGAGGGAGAGGGCTGTGCACCTGTGTCTGTGTGTTCCTGCATGTCTTTGAGTGTGTGCACGTATGAGTAGGCATTCACCTTTCAGCAGCTTTTCTGAGCTAATGGGGTAGGCAGCCTAAGGCCCAGGGGCCAGATGCGGCCCAATCACCTTCTCAATTCGGTCCGCGGGCGGCCCGGGAATCAGTGTGTTTTTACATGAGTATAATGTGTCCTTTTATTTAAAATGCACCTCTGCGTTATTTGTGGGGCCTGCCTGGTGTTTTTACATGAGGAGAATGTCTGCTTTTATTTAAAATGCATGTCTGGGTTATTTGTGGGGCATAGGAATTCGTTCATTCCCCCCCCCCCAAAAAAATAGTCCAGCCCACCACATGGTTTGAGGGACGGTGGACCGGCCCACGGCTGAAAAAGGTTGCTGACCCTTGCTAGCCCCCCCCCCAAAAAAACCTGCCTAAAATGCCCATATCACAGGGTCCTTTTTAACCTGCTTTCAACCATCCATCCATCCATTCTCTCCTTCCCTCCCTCTCCTCGCTTTCCCTTGCTCAGTGATGGACACAAATGACAGGTTTCTGCGGAAGATCACTATTGGGCAGTCTCCAACCGAAAAGGGGTTCTCACGCACAGTAAGTGCCCTTTCCTCTCTCATTCCAAAATGCTTTCCTATTGCGGGGGCGGGGGGCGGGGGCGGGACTGGCTGGTCTTTGAACAATAGCATCTTACCCTCCCTTAGCAACTGGGTTGACCTTGAGCCAAGAGGTGTTGGGGTTTTTTCCCCCCACTGAGTGTTTTTCTACAAATGATGTGCATGAGAACATAAAAGGGGGGGGGTGATAATATGTACCTGGTGCTAACTTGCTCTGAGGGGCTGGCTTTTCCACCCACAGTGTTTTGGAGTACAGTGGTACCTTGGTAATCAAAAAGCTTGGCTCCCGAACAAATCGGCTCCTGAACGCTGCAAACCCAGAAGTGAGTACAGTGGTACCTCTGGATGTGAACGAGATCCGTTCCGGAGCCCCGTTCGCATCCTGAGTAGAATGCAACCTGCGCCTAAGCGTCGCGATTCGCTGCTTCTGCACATGCGTGTGACGTCATTTTGAACATCTGCGCATGCACGAGCGGTGAAACCCGGAAGTAATGCGTTCCGTTACTTCCGGGTTGCCACGGAGCGTAATCTGAAAACGCTCAACCTGAAGCATGCTTAACCCAAGGTATGACTGTATTCTGGTTTGCAAATGTTTTTCAGAAGCTAAACGTCCAACACGGCTTCTGATTGAGTTCAGGCAGCTCCTGCAGCCAATTGGAAGCTGCACCTTGGTTTTCGAACCGTTTCAGGAGTTGAACAGACTCCCAGAACAGATTAAATTTGAGAACCAAGGTACCCCTGTAGTCTTCTCCATTTCAGACATCTAGTTTGCTTGACTCTGTGATGTCTTTGGCATAAAAAATGGCATTCTTCCAGCACAACCTTGCGCTATCTTTCCTGCGGAACATGGGTAGTGGTTGGAAACCTTTTTCATCCCTTCTGGGGACAGCATGCAGGTGGTAGGGAGAGCCAGAGGCAAAATGTGGGTGGAGCAATGGAGGTGACTCTTACCTTACAACAGGTGACTTTCCAGCCATACGAAAGTATGCAGTGGAGTAACAAATCATCGGAGTCAAATAATGTTCATGAACAACAATAGAGAGCGTAGTTAGTCAGTCTCAAAGAACCTGGAGATGGAGGCAAAATGCCTTTCAACAGTCACAGTCCTGCAAATGAGCAGTGATTGGTCCTCTGAACAAAGCGTAGAACAGTTTTTACTACACTTCTCGGTGATTGCTGATCCTTTGCTACTAGATGTACCTGTAGGGACAATTCATTTGCTGATGAAGAATTACCATTGAAACAGTTCATCATCCAGAAAAACTGTTCTGCACTGACTGTGACTGTTGTTGTTAGCAAATTATTAGCCGCATGTTGCTTGTGGCTGTTCAGAGTTGTCTGTTTTGCAACACAGGGGATTTCCTTGGTTGTTTATTCAAAAACCAGATTAAAGCATACACCATCATTCTGCACGCCTTAAACAAAGATGGTTTTAGCAAGCAGCATAAAAAGTACAGTGAAGGCACTTGCCCAGTGTCAACAGGCAGGGAATTCCAAAGTGTGGTGCTGCCACGCTAAAGATGGATTTCTTCCAGGGAAGCGAAAGGCGTTGTGGCAGTTCATGTTGGAAAATGCCCTGGGGTGCTCCTGCAGCCCCCGAACTCCGAGCATTCTCTGGTATGCGCAGCTCTGGAAAAGGCATTTCGCTTCTTCTCCAGTGCGCTCAGCGACATATACCAGATGGCATATGCACACTAATCTTCTAGCATTGCATAGCAAGAAGGATGAGACATCGTAGAGTTAATCTACGTATTTATTTACACACTATGTACACACTATGTACTCTGCTTAAAAAGCAGAGACATCACCTTGCCAACAAAGGTCCGTGTAGTTAAAGCTATGGTTTTCCCAGTAGTGATGTATGGAAGTGAGAGCTGGACCATAAAGAAGGCTGATCGCCGAAGAATTGATGCTTTTGAATTATGGTGCTGGAGGAGACTCTTGAGAGTCCCATGGACTGCAAGAAGATCAAACCTCTCCATTCTGAAGGAAATCAGCCCTGAGTGCTCACTGGAAGGACAGATCCTGAAGCTGAGGCTCCAATACTTTGGCCACCTCATGAGAAGAGAAGACTCCCTGGAAAAGCCCCTGATGTTGAGAAAGATGGAGGGCACAAGGAGAAGGGGACGACAGAGGACGAGATGGTTGGACAGTGTTCTCAAAGCTACAAACATGAGTCTGACCAAACTGCGAGAGGCAGTGGAAGACAGGAGTGCCTGGCGTGCTCTGGTCCATGGGGTCACGAAGCGTCGGACACGACTAAACGACTAAACAACAACAATGTACAGACAAAGAATTATGGCGTCCTCTCTCACCAGCTCCGAGAGAGAACAGGATGAAGTAAAAGCAAAAGTACAGTCCAACAGTACCCACAACGGAAGAGAGAGAACGCTATCTTCCGTTCCCACCGTCTTCCCAGACAGGCATGTGATTTACACCGATCACATCTGCAGCATCAGATGCATGAAATACTAACAGTTCAGGGATTCATTCCAGAAAGGCAAAAGCAACTCAAGGAAGGTGTAGCTTGCAGGATGTGGGTGACCTGGGAAGCGTCTGGGGGGGCCAAGCATAAAGGCCACATTGACCCCTGAGTCTAATGCTTCTCTCGCCTCTTAACCACAAAAATCCATCTTGCTGTCCAGGCGAGCAAGAGAAACTCTTGCAGTTCAAGGACACATTCCAGCCAGGCAAAAACACTTGAGGAGGGCAATGAACAGGGTCAAGGAGATGTGGCAGAAGGAAAGTCCTGAGTGGGGTGGAGAGGCTTGAGGTGCCACATCCGTCCCCTGGGTCTGAGGCTCCCCACCTTTGTCAGGGCTGGAAGAGCCCTGGAAGGGAGCCTATCATCTTCTCCAAGCCCCTGCAATGCAGGAATAGGCAGCTGTCTCTTACTGGAATCAAACCTGCAACCTTGGCGTTATCAGCATCACACTCTAACCCAGAGCTTTCCAAACTGTGTGTCGCATCACGTTAGCATGTCGGCTGCAGTGTGCAGGTGTGCCATGCGAATGCTCCCTGCGCTCCTCATGGGGCTGGAAAGGGGTTAGTTTAAACCTCTGGCTTGCTAGTAACACTGAAGTACCGTGTCGCAAAATGATGCATGTCTAAAAAGTGTGTCACCAGCATGACAAGTTTGCAAAGCTCTGCTAAGCAATTCAGCTACCCAGAGGTCAGGGGTTGAACAAAGTGTATGGGGTGAAGGAGGGGGGTGTTCGCTCCAGCCTTGCCCACTTTGGCCCTCCCCACCACCAGGGTGCCCAGATACAAACGAGGGCAAAGCTCTGGGAATGTCAGTGGGTGTTGTTTGCTATCCCTGTCGAAATCCCCTCGTCTTATCTCAGCCTCTGCAGTTTGCAGGAGCCCTGCGCATCCACCAGCATGCAGCCCCCAACCACTTCCCTCCAAGGAAACAGGGCCCTTGCGAGATGTCCCTCCCACCAGATGTCAAAGAGCAAAATAACTACCAAACTTTTAGAAGACATCTGAAGGCAGCCCTGTTTAGAGAATGTTGAATAGGTTATTGTATTTTAGTGTTTTGTTGGAAGCCGCCTAGAGTGGCTGGGGAAACCCAGCCAGATGGGCAGGGTATAAATAATTTATTATTATTATTATTATTATTATTATTATTATTATTATGATTCCCCCACCCCACATCCCCACGATAGTTTGTATCCAGAGACAGTGGTTCTCCTTTAAAACAAAAAAATGTCGCTTGGGTTGAAAGGATACTGTTTTTGACCCTGTCCTTCCCTCCGGCAGGCTCAGTTCGACATCACGGTTGCCAGTGAAATCATGGCGGTCTTGGCTCTCACAGATGGCCTGGAGGACATGAGGCGTCGCCTAGCCAAAATGGTGGTGGCTTCCAGCAAGAACGGCGTTCCAATTACCACAGAAGATCTGGTACGTAGGCCGTAATCATCCTCAGAAGACGAAACTTCGCCAAAACTGACCTTGACGGTGCAAGTTTCCCAGAAACCTCTGCCGGACTTAATTCGGGTTCAGCTGTCCCTTGGATCTGGGTGTTGAGCTCATAAACCTTTGCTGGCCCAAGGATAACTTAGAAGCATAGAATTGTGGAGTGGGAAGGGACCCAAAGGTCATCTTTTCCAGGCACAGGCAACCTTGGCCTTCCAGATGTTTTGGGACTACAACTCCCATGACCCCTAGCTAACAGGACCAATGGTCAGGGATGCTGGGAATTGTAGTCCCAAAACATCTGGAGGGCCGAGTTTGCCTACGCCTGATTTAGTCCAACCCCCTGCAGCGCAGGAACGAAGCAGAACTTGCGGTGCATCTTCCTCTTTGCAAGCCCCTTGTGATTCAGGTAGTCGGAGGAGACCCTGCTCCAGAATCCCATTGTGTGCCTAAGGTAAATTGCCCTGGACACCAGCTTTAATTTACATTTTAAAATTAAAAATAGGGAGAAGTAGAGGCCTCGCACGCACCAAGGCTGGTCTCTTCGGCACTCGAGCACTATGCTTAGGATCCCAGAGGTAGATCGTACATGTGTGAAATTGCCCTACCTGTAATTATGGAATGGTGAGCATGGCATCCTCAATTGTGTTCATTTAGCATCCTATTTCTGTCAAGGTAGAATAGTGGGCTCCCTTGCGGTTCTTGGAGCATCCTAAACCTGAAGAAATTGGTCAGAACTGCCACCCAGGTAACTCTAAACACTTCTTTCTTTAGGGAGTTAGTGGTGCCCTGACAGTTTTGATGAAAGATGCTATTGAGCCAAACCTCATGCAGACTCTGGAGGTAAGTGCATATCTTGTGCAAGCTTTGTGCTGTCAGTTGGAAATTGGAAAACCTACCTGCCCCCCCACCAAATGCTGTGAGTCAGTGGTTCTCAAGAACATTTTGCACCTGACAACCAATCACCCCTTCACGCTTTGCCTTGTTTGTTTGCTGTGTTTTCAAAGTGGTTTGCGATTAAAAAAACATTAACACAAACAAATGGGATAGCTCAGTCATGAGACCCTTAATCTATGAAATGGTAGAAAAATAATCTCAGGGTGGTATCAGCTGCCGATGGCACTAGATTTTACCCTCTTCTGCCTTCCCCCGGGGGGGGGGGGAATGGCTAGGGAAGGAGGGACAAAGGCTGCCTCAACAGATCTCCCAGGGCACTGGCGGTCCAGTCAGGAGCTGGTGGCTCTCTGCTGCTTGGCCTAGTCTTCCTAGCTTCTGCCTTACCTCAGAGCACACAGGTTGTAAATGGGGATTGGTCTTCATGTTGCTTAAAACAGAAATTATATAGACCTGTCAAGGGCAACTGGCCATGATCAATAGAACCTCCCCATGCAGGGGCAGTTTATCTTGGAATACGAGTTACCGTGAGGAAAACAAGAGGACGTGTTGCTTATCCAGAGGTGGTGTTGGAATCAGGATGCTAGCCTAGTTGATCCAACAGGGAATCCTGCAGGCTCTTAATCCAGAGGCAAAGCTCTTGCTATTTAAAGTTAAGTACCGATATATAACGCAGCAAGAATGGATGTGGTTTACAGATTTGTCGCATTCCCAGAAGGTGTGGAGGTGGCCAAGAAAGGACTCTGAGCTATGAGGGAAGCCAGTTCCTAACAGGCAAGATTGCATCTTCTTCCCCTACCCTCAGCTAGCAGAGGTGGGGGGGGGGGGTTGCCGTCTGCATTCCTGAAGGAGCCAGAAAGGTTTAAACTTCCTGGATCCTGCCCATTCTGTGCAGGGAAGGATTTGGCTCAAGGATTGAGGAGTGAGAGGTCCCTCCTCTCCTGTAGAACTGTTTGGCGCAGAAAGAGAGAGTCTCATTTCATTTCACTTTCAATTTGTATACCATCTTTCTATATTACTATACACAAGGCGGTTTGCAGCCACAAAATATACACACCTTATAATAATCTGATCCAGTACAAAAAGGCATAATGAAACATAACTTTACAAACGAATGACTTATGTCATATAAAGTGATATTCACTGATGTGTTAGAATATAATAGAACACAACAAAATTAACTCTCAAAACACCAGCAAATAATAATTAAATTCACTCTTAACAATTGCGATAAATATCACTCAACCTGGGGCGACACAGAAGGGACTGTGATGGGCTGATTTTTCCTGCTGGTTTTCAGTTCTGCCCAATTTCCACTTTGTTGGGTTGCTTCACCAGAGACACTTGAAGTGCTGCAAGATTTTTAGAGCCCTAACACAGGCTTACTCGCAAGCAAGTGCTGTTGAGATCCATGGAATTTGCTTCTGAGTAAGTGTGCGTAGGGCTTGCCGATCAGAAGGTTGGCGGTTTGAATCCCTGTGACGGGGTGAGCTCCCGTTGCTCAGTCCCTGCTCCTGGCAACCTAGCAGTTCGAAAGCACATCAAAGTGCAAGTAGATAAATAGGTACCACTCTGGCGGGAAGGTAAATGGCGTTTCCGTGCGCTGCTCTGGTTCGACAGAAGCGGCTTAGTCATGCTGGCCACATGACCCGGAAGCTGTACGCCGGCTCCCTCGGCCAATAAAGCGAGATGAGCGCCACAACCCCAGAGTAAGTCACGACTGGACCTAATGGTCAGGGGTCCCTTTACCTTTTAAGTGTGTGTTGGGCTTGCAGCATTCCAGGTGGCAAAGCATCTTTTTTCCCTTTGCATTTCCTTCTTCCAGTTGCATTTCCCCCTTCTCTTCTCAGGGCAACCCTGTGTTTGTCCACGCCGGTCCATTTGCCAACATTGCCCATGGCAACTCATCCGTCCTGGCAGACAAGATTGCCCTGAAGCTCGTCGGCAAGGAAGGGTTTGTGGGTGAGTCTCTGTGCGCCGACTTCCATGCACCGTTTACTTCCGGAATTCACGGCTGCACGATGCAGTGGGTGGGGGACCTGTGGCCTTCCATAGGTTTCTGGACTACAACTCCCATGATCCCTGTTGGCCTCTCTAGCTGGGAATGATGGGAGTTGGAGTCCAGCAACATCGGGCAGGCCATGGGTTCCCTATTGTTGCTGTTGCACCGAAAAACATTTGTAAAATTGAACTAGTAATTCAAGGAGGAATAGCTTTGTGAAGTTGTGTCCCCTTCCCCAAGTTTGTTCCCCATAATCATTTCAACGATTCCTCGGCTTGTTTACTTGGGTGTAAGTCGTATTGAACACAGTGGGCTTACTTCTGATTGGACGTGCATAGAACTGCAACGGGTTTTTGCAAGGCAATTCTTGTTTTCTAAAAATTAAATAAAAAGACAGAGAGAAATCCAAGCCTAAAACAAAAGTCTTGTGTTGTTCAGAAAGGCTTGCAAGGAACAACACGCTGTGAGTTCATATATTTAACAAGCCTGCTTCAGTCACTGCCCTTTCTCTGGAGGTGTGTTTAACACTGCACCTCACGGATAAAATGAGATGCTTGAGGAACAAGCCGCCCACTCTGTAGAAGAGGGTATTTTTCTGCATATATCCAGCTGCTGTCCACTGAACTGGCAGCCCCCAGGGAATGGCAAAGGAAGTGGCTGTGTTTTCCACCATATTCTCAAAGAGCACCTCAGAACAGGACTTCATGGGGGAAACAGAATGGCTGCACCTCTGTTTCAAATCGTGCCAAAATAATTTCACCTCACCCCGGGATTAAAGCCTGACAAAAGAGCCGGTTTCAAAGTGGGTAAAGTGGCTGAGAAAATGGGCTTTGTCACTTTGGTTCACCCTTCCGGCTGCCATCATTTATTTATTTAGAATATTTACATGCAGCGTTTAAATCAGAAGTAACTGAGGCAGAGTGCAACATAAACTTCTTCTCTAATGATCACTTGTAGCTGAGTAAGATTGTATTCCGTTTGAGGACCTGGACATTCTCAGGGAAACCAAAATAATCTTGATTACCCAAAATGCAACACAATTACTTAAGACAATCCACTAAAACACATGAAACACCACGAGAGTTTGAAAATCTGCATCTTCCAAATCTAAGGAACAGGTTTTATTTCTGGGTGTGTTTTTTTTACTTTTTTGACAGTTATTTTTATTGATTTTCCATAATTTTTATCGAATTGTCACCAAATTAGTACAAATTTAAAAGCTGACTTCCAGCTCCACCCCCAGCGTTCCTTCTTTTTCCCTCCCTCCATTGCTGCTCCAAATACATTTGCTTTCCCAACTTTCATTTCAATATTCAATAAAATCAAACATACTTATTTTTGCAATAATATTTCAAACTTTGTCCTTTCACATCGGCTGTACAAGTACCAATTTCTGCTTAAGACTTTTGTATATATTATTGTAGCCTATCCATAAAATAATCAGGTAGATAAATCCTCCTTTATCTGTCTATGATAATCCTGAATCAATAATGACATATCAGTACTGTCAGCGCCTGCTCTGTATCTAGGGCGAGACCATTCCACAAGGAATGACTTTTGTGGGAGCCCACCTGTAGTGGTTCTAGGGGTTGCTCGTGCGTAAGGGGTTGCCTGAGTGAACCTTTCCTGTCCGGACAGCCACTCACCCGTGGCTGTCTCAATCGCTGGCAGAATCCGTCAGTGGGCGTTTCTTAAACTTCTTCCAACATAGAAGTTCTTTCACACCCAGTCTCCTCCTACTCTCCCTGCTTGGAAGCCTTCTGCGCAAGGAGGGTGTAGGCAGCGGAGGACCCTTCCTCCCCCCACTGGTTCCCAGCAAGGAGTCATGTGACTCCCTCTCAGATTCCCCCATCTGCCCCCCTTCTCCACTGGAGCTGAGCTGATTCCCTTCCCCAGAAGATGGGCTGCCTCTCCCAATCCCGGGATGCTCTCTGGGATCCCTCTGGAGCTCTCTCTCTCCCTCCAGCACTGATGGCAGTTCCCTGACACCACCTGTTTGGGGTCCCCAAACCAGAGGACATTTTGCATAAACTCCTTGACACTGTTTCAGCTGGAGCAAGGACTTTGCATAGCTAGGAAAGAGGGCAGGCAATGAAGTGACTAGAGCAGGCATCCCCAGACTCAGCCCTCCAGCTGTTTTGGAACTACAGTTCCCATCATCCCTGACCACTGGTCCTGTTAGCTAGGGATGATGGGAGTTTTAGTCCCAAAACAGCTGGAGGGCTGAGTTTGAGGATTCCTGGACTAGAGGAATGAAGTCAGTGTGGTGCAAACAAACAGCAGAAGTGCCGGGTCGGGTCTGCTGGTGTGTTTGCACCATGCTGGCCACGTCACTGCCTTGCCCCTCTCCCTCCAGGTGTGCTGCCGCAACTCGGGTGATGGGAGGCCAAGGTAAGCTGAGCACTGGGAGTCGAGAGACTCAGGGGCTTGCCAGATCTCTGCTAGGAATGCCTTACCCTTTGCGGCATCGTCACCGCCCTGTCTCTCCTAGTTTGCTGCTTTTGCTGCTTATTAATGCCATGCCTGGGGAGCTTCTGCTGGAGGTGTGTGAATAGAAAGGAAAGAGGAGTTATTAAAACCCTCTGGTTTTCATCTTTGGTGTGCATCTCTGGTTCAGTTGTGCTTCAGGCAGTTCCGTTTCCTCGTTTCGCTCTTGCCATTTTGGGAAACTCTTGCACGTTTCCCAAAGCGTGAATTCCTCCGAGTTGAACACTGGAGTGGATAGGGACGCGGGTGGCACTGTGGGTTAAACCACAGAGCCTAGGGCTTGCCGATCAGAAAGTCGGCAGTTCAAATCCCCGCGACAGGGTGAGCTCCCGTCATTCAGTCCCAGCTCCTGCCAACCTAGCAGTTCGAAAGCACGTCAAAGTGCAAGTAGATAAATAGGTACCGCTCCAGCGGGAAGGTAAACGGCGTTTCTGTGCGCTGCTCTGGTTTACCAGAAGCGGCTTAGTCATGCTGGCCACATGACCCAGAAGCTGTACGCCGGCTCCCTTGGCCAGTAAAGCGAGATGCGCGCCGCAACCCCAGAGTAATCCGTGACTGGACCTAATGGTCAAGGGTCCCTTTACCTTTAAAACAAAAACAAAAAACACTAGAGTGGATGGCTTAAGGACGGAGATTAAAATGAAAATGATGCTAATGCTGCCAAGCAAATAGAAAGGAGATTGTACATAATATAATGCAGTGTTCTCCTTTTGTTCCGCCTGCAGTGACAGAAGCTGGCTTCGGAGCAGATATCGGCATGGAAAAGTTCTTTGACATCAAGTGCCGGTATTCTGGGCTGCAGCCCCATGTGGTCGTCTTGGTGGCTACTGTCCGAGCTCTGAAGATGCATGGTGGAGGACCTACGGTGAGTGGCAGCCTTGGCGATAGGGAAGCCTAAGACCAATGCTTAAGTCATTTTAGTTCCCCCATTCTGGTGCCCTCCAGGTATTCTGGACCACATTGCCCATCAGCTCCAGCCAGCACGGCCATTAATACCTGTGGATATTATCCACATGTATGTTTTGATTTCTGAAGACTTAAAATTCAGGATAAATGAAGATACACACAGGGAGGTGATGGGACAGAAGGGACCTTTGGGAGAGACATACCAGAGTGCCTTTTCTCAGGGTGTGTGACTGACGAAGAGGGAAGCTCTCCCAGGTGAGAGCTAAGAGGTTTCACTTCTCTGTATGAGGATCAAAAATTAAGATATAATGGAGGGCTGTATATATACAACTCTGTGCTCTCTTTCTTTTCTCGTTTTCTCCGTTCCTTTTCTGTATTGTTGTTGCTGTCATTTTAATAAGTATTTATTTTATTTTTTACATAAAATGCAGTAAAAATCAAACTAAATAACAGAAATAACAAGAAACCAAGAAAGGAGGAAAAAAGGGGGGGAGAAAGAGAAAGGAGGTAAAAATAATAGCTATAAGGGCCCTTTATCACATTTATATCATATGATAGAATAAAAACCCAACTAGTCTAAAATAATAATAATAATAAATGGGCCCTTTAGCACATTTGTTGTTGTTGTTGTTGTTATTTTAGACTAGTTGGGTTTTTATTCTATCACGTGTTGAAAACTCTTAATAAAATTTATATTTTAAAAAAACCTGGAGGGCACCAGATTGCCTTATCCTTCCCCAAAGTGTGCAGTGATGTTGAGGAATCTGGCTCCACTTTCCAGCTGCCCTTATTAGGTAGCCAGTGCTCTCAATTCCTCTCCAATCTCCCTCGGTTTCTTTTTCTGATTCTGATCCTCTCCCTGCCCCTTACCATCCATCATGATGTTTATTCTCTTTCTTCATTGGAAAAGCAAAAAACAAAAGCACATTTTGCTCTTTCCCCCGCCCCCTCTATACAGTCCTCTGCTTGCTTCTTATTTAAAATTTTAAAACAACAGCTTCTGTCAGTATATAACTGATGGTTAACGTTATGAAGGCGTCAGGCTTTTAATTTGCATTGCTCCTTTCCCCTCGTGGCCCTTGCTGTTTAGATAAGCAAAGCCTCCTTGCAGAGACTTGTCTCTGATGAATTAGGTTTACATTGACCGCGTTGGCGGAGCAACCAGACTGCCATGTTTCAGAAACAAATCTCCATTTTGGGTAGGCAGCAATGCTCTGATTCTCTGTTTCTTACAGATTCCTTAGGCTTTGCGGCATAAGCAAGAGGCAGTTTCTCTAGCTGTTCCCTTTTTTCTTTTTGTAGCCTAATCCCTGATAAGTATTCTGAATATTTTCCATATTTAGCTTCTCCTTAAAGAGATGTCAAGCAGAATTACTGGCCTTCTGTGTCAAAGAACGTTTGCTTTTTTGCCAGTCTTAGAAATACCTTACTTCCTTTTTTATCTTTGGAGTTCAAAGTGATCTTATTTTTTAACAGACGTGTGTGTGTGTGTGTGTGTGTGTGTGTGTAGCTAAAGATGGAGTAAAAAGTGAGTGAGAGAAATTTGCACGCACACACACACACACACACACACACAAACACACGTCGTGCCTCCTGGTGACTGGCAAACAACCTCCTCTTTGCTTAGCTTGGAACAGGAGCTAAGATGAGTTCTTCTCCAGAAAAATATTAAGAGTCTGCAGGAGGAAGGGGGAAGGTCAAATTCATTCCCTCAGCATTGCCCACTGCTTCTTTGCTAATGAGATCTTTTGTGTGCCGCTGGCTATCGTCTCCACAGTCTGGTGTCTCTCCTCCTTTGGCCTCAGAGCCTTGTGTTGAGAGGTAATGATACGTCCCTGGAGGCAGCCATCTATTCTTTGCGAATTCATCAGAAGGAAACAATTGCTGCTTGGTTCATTATGTTAATGTGCAGGACTCCTAGACGTGAGCCAAAATTCACAACCTTTGCTATGTCCTTGTAGAAGAACTCCCCTTCTCTCTCGAAGTGGGGACCTTTCCTAAAAGTCTAATTTGTGCCCACTCCACCTCTGGTCCACTTCATGCTGCTTGTGAGGAATCTGAAGGAGCGTCTCCACCACCACCGCTCAGCCCGGACACTGAGGTCCAGCAACAAGGGCCTTCTGGCGGTTCCCTCACTACGAGAAGCCAAGTTACAGGGAACCAAGCAGAGGGCCTTCTCGGTAGTGGCACCCGCCCTGTGGAACACCCTCCCACCAGATGTCAAAGAGAAGAACAACTACCAGACTTTTAGAAGACATCTGAAGGCAGCCCTCTTTAGGGAAGCTTTTAATGTCTGATGCATTACTGTATTTTAATATTGTGTTGGAAGCCGCCCAGAGTGGCTGGGGAGGACCGGCCAGATGGGCGGGGTATAAATAATAAATTATTATTATTATTAACCTTCTAAGCACCTTCAGCAGGAAGCCCACTTCACAGTCCATTGCTACTGGGTCACAGTGGGTTGGGAGTGCCTACTCTCTCCCTGTACAATTTATGACTGCATGCATTTTTTTCCTTTTATTTTTTGAACCTCTCAACAGGGCTAAACAGGCTCCCAGGTAAACGCCAGGGTTGGGAATGAAATTGGAGTTCATACGGAATGCCACCTCCAATGCCTGTTTTTGCTCTTTGCAGGTCGCTGCCGGAGTTCCCTTGCCAAAGGAGTACACTGAAGAGGTAACAATGATCTGCCGACTCTATTTACTGTTCCCTGATTTAATGAGAACTTTGCAAGACACAAGGCAGCCTCAGCGCCCTCAGTACGTGCCCTTAAATGCAGTACATATGATCTGTGTGGCCATATCTCCTTCCCTCATGTACCTAATGCCAGCACTTCTAGCCTAGGTTGTTGGAAACTACAGTTTTCTGTGATGTCCAAACTGAGAAACCATGGCTTTAAGCTCTGTTAAAGACCAGGATAAGGGACGCGGGTGGCACTGTGGGTTAAACCACAGAACCTAGGACTTGCTGATCAGAAGGTTGGCAGTTCGAATCCCCGCAACAGGGTGAGCTCCCGTTGCTCAGTCCCTGCTCCTGCCAACCTAGCAGTTCGAAAGCACTGCAGGAAGGTAAACGGCATTTCCGTGCGCTGTTCTGGTTCGCCAGAAGCGGCTTAGTCATGCTGGCCACATGACCCAGAAGCTGTACGCCGGCTCCCTCGGCCAATAAAGCAAGATGAGCGCCGCAACCCCAGAGTCGGTCACGACTGGACCTAACGGTCAGGGGTCCCTTTACCTTTAAAGACCAGGATATGAAATCAGTTTGTAAGCAGCTATTATGCCATACATTTCTCTAAACCTTGGTTGGTTTGTCTAACTTTGCTTTCCCCGTGTTTTTGTACCTTGCCATGCATCAGGAATGACGTGGCCAGGTTCACACACAGCATCGAGCTATAAATGCAATGAACCAAGTGTCGTAATCCAACAAGAAACCATCAGGATTGTGGTTTGTTGGCAGTAAACAGTAATTCAGCCACTTGGCAGGGTTCGCGTACAACACGAAGCTATAGTTTAATAAACCACGGCTTGGCGTTATGTGTGAACCAGGCCAGTGGCAATCTGATATTGAATGTAAGCAGGAATATATGGTAAAGACTCAAGCTGCTTCAGGTGAGGAAATTAATCCTGAAAAGGGGGTGAGCCAAAGCTTCAGAGGAAATTCAAATTATTTAAGTATTAAGAGATCACTTTGTAGCTTTGCCAGAATCCCCACCCACTGCAGCTCAGGTTAGGAAGTCGAAAAGGAGTTTTTCTCTTAGACATTTTGTTTGCTGAGAAAGCAGAATGTAGGGTGCTCTCAGCACACAAAATGCCTAAGAGAAAAACTCTCCTTTTTGACTTCCCAACCTGAGCTGCAGTGCTTCATTTTTATAATGACACTTTGGGCTTGCAGTGCTCACTGCTCGTTTAATCCACAGGTCTACTTAAAATTTTCCATGCCAATAGTTTTATCTCTATAACCTCGCTGTTGCTGCAGCTGTGATTTTTTTTTTTTTTTTTAAGTAAAGTGCCTGGGAGGTAGCTGAATTCAGGTCAGGAAAATGGTAGACTGGGGCTAAGGGTAGCTTCTGGCTGCTTGGTTGAGGATTTTGTGTTTGTATTTTAGATAAGCCCAAGCCGCTGGGTGCTTTACAATAAGGCAAGTAGATAAAAATCCACAGAGTCCCCAAAATAGCAATCTGTTAAAAACTCCTAACAAATCACAGAAGAGCAATTACTAACAGAAGCAGCAGCAATCAGAGTTTGCTTCCAGACACCCTCCAAAAAATACGCATCTTGGCTAGCCATCTAAAACAAAGCGTTTACCTTTCCCACCAATATAAGCTCCTGAGGCAGCTTATAGCAAATGATATTGCAGTGCACAGTTTACCACGAGAAAAAGCAACGTTCGATAGAGCAGTTGATAAAGCAGCTTAAAATCCTTCACAATTGGACGTTAACTTTCTTAACTGGCCAAGATTGGTAGGGGGTTTCAGAGACGTAAAAGGCCATTTTCTCTGGCAGAGCGAAGGTGGAACACTCAAGAGTAGACAGAAGATGGACAGATTCATACAGACGCCCTCGGGAGGTTGTGGACTCTCCTTCCATGGAGGTTTTTAAACAGAGGTTGGGTGGCCATCTCGCCATGGATGCTTTAGTTGAGATTTTTGCATTGCAGCGGGTTGGACTAGATGACCCTGGGTTTCCCTTCCAGCTGTGCGATTCTACTGTTCTATTATTTAAGTGATCCTGAGAATATGCTTCCGAAAGAAGAGGCATAACAGCTGTACTGGGAGCTGGCAAGTTGCAAAAAGCTACCTACCACTTGTTCTTCCCCAAACAAACTCTCTCCTTTTCCCCCCCCTTTCCTTTTCGTACAGAACCTCCCACTTTTGGAGAAAGGGTGCAGCAACTTGCGCAAGCAAATCCAAAACGCCAGGACCTTTGGCATCCCGGTCGTCGTAGCTGTCAATGCATTCAAGTAAGTAAGAGAGCTAAAAGTCCCTGCCTATCCATGCGGGAAAATAAAGCAGTAAAGGGGACTCGCACTACTTCAGACTGCTGTTTTGGAACTGCAATGAAATAGTAGCATATTATCACAGGGCTGTTGTCACATGGGGCTGCTGCTGGAGATGGTTCGGAAACTTCAGCTGGTGCTCAGCGTGGCAGGCAGGTGGTTAAAGAACGCAGGGAGGTGGGATCTCTTAACACCAGTTCCGTCCCACAGGCTGCCACTTGGTTTGCAAAACTGAACTCAAAGTGCTGCTTTTGAAGTTTAAAGCCCTATATGGCTCAGGACGCCCCCGTACCTAGAGGGTCCCCTTTTCCCATATGAACTTGTCTGGACACTGCAATCAACATCTGAAACCCTTCTCAGTGTCTTATCTCTTGAGTATGGAGATTGGTGACTGGAGACAAGGTCTTCTCCGATAATGGCCTGCCTCCTGGCCCCATCTGTAAAATGGGGGGTGATCATGCTGTCTCACTGTACAGGCTTTTTGTAAGGATGGCGATAAGATAATGCACATGATGTGCTTTGAATGCTGGAAAGCACCATTTATATTGGTATTATTATTATTGTTGTTGTTGTTGTTTAGTCGTTTATTCGTGTCCGACTCTTCGTGACCCCATGGACCAGAGCACGCCAAGCACTCCTGTCTTCCACTGCCTCCCGCAGTTTGGTCAAACTCATGCTGGTAGCTTCGAGAACACTATCCATCCATCTCGTCCTCTGTCATCCCCTTCTCCTTGGGCCCTCCATCTTTCCCAATATCAGGGTCTTTTCCAGGGAGTCTTCTCTTCTCAGGAGGTGGCCAAAGTACTGGAACCTCAGCTTCACGATCTGTCCTTCCAGTGAGCGCTCAGGTCTGATTTCCATTCAGAATGGATAGGTTTGATCTTCTTGCAGTCCATGGGACTCTCAAGAGTCTCCTCCAGCACCATAATTCAAAAGCATCAATTCTTCGGTGATCAGCCTTCTTTATGGTCCAGCTCTCACTTCCATACATCACTACTGGGAAAACCATAGCTTTAACTATACGGACCTTTGTTGGCAACATGCTTATTATTATTATGATTATTAACACCTCCCCCAGTGGCTCAGTGCAACCAGAAGGCTGGTGGTTCGAACCCACTCAGGGACGGCGATGCACAGAATTCCTGCATTGCAGTGGGTTGGACTAGATGACCCTTGGGTCCCTTCCAACTCAATAATTCTTCGATATTATTATTATTATTATTATTACTACTACTACTACTGCTACTACTACTATTATTATTATTATACCAAGTAACATAGGAAAGGGTGCATTCAGATGAGGTGTTTCCCCTGATAAGGCCTTGGTGGTCCTGATACATCCAAAGGCAGGCATGGCCAAACTCGGCCCTCCAGCTGTTTTGGGACTACAACTCCCATTATCCCTAGGTAACTGGTCCAGTGGTCAGGGATGATGGGAACTGTAGTCCCAAAACAGCTGGAGGGCCATGTTTGGCTGTCCCTGCCTTTAGGAAACCACCACGTATGGGTGGCGGCTTGAAAGGTGGCAAGCTACCCACACAATATCTTGTTTGTGAGCCCAAATTAAAGCTCTCCTGCTCCTCCCTGGTCCCCGCCCCTCCTTCCATGCCATCCGTGAGTCATCCTGCATGTGTCTTTCTTAAATGTGATGTGCATCCACATGAGACGTTGCTCTGAAGTGCATTTGAGAAATGTTCTGTGGCAGCTCTCTGCTCTCGTCTCATTTTCAACCTTGAATAAAAGAAAATGCCTTCGCTAATCAGGCAGTGATTTTTCATTCCTGCCAGCTGAATCGTGGGAGGTGGTGGTTGGGATGTCATGAAGATTAAGCACTTAATGGTTTTCAGTGAGCATTAATAGTCAAAATTAAATCTCCCTATGCTTCTCCCTCTTTGGTTTACATCATCATTGGCTCAGTATAGTGATAGCATCTCTTAGGTAAAGCTCAAGACGCGGGTGGTGCTGTGGTCTAAACCACTGAGCCTCTTGGGCTTGCCAATTGGAAGGTCGGCGGTTCGAACCCCCACGACGGGGTGAGCTCCCATTCCTCTGTCCCAGCTCCTGCCAACCTAGTAGTTCAAAAGCACACCAGTGCAAGTAGATAAATAGGTACTGCTGTGGCAGGAAGGTAAACAGTGTTTCTGTGCGCTCTGGTTTCCGTCATGCTGTTCTGTTGTGCCAGAAGTGATTTAGTCATGCTGGCCACATGACCCGGAAAGCTTGTTGTTTAGTCATTTAGTCGTGTCCAACTGTTTGTGACCCCATGGACCAGGGCACGCCAGGCACTCCTGTCTTCCACTGCCTCACGCAGTTTGGTCAAACTCATGTTGGTAGCTTCGAGAACACTGTCCAACCATCTCGTCCTCTGTCGTCCCCTTCCAAGTGCCTGCTCCCTTGGCCTGAGATTTTTATCTATCCTGATACCAAATAAAAGTAAAGGGTGTACAGGAAGAGGCACTGGATTTTCCTGCTGTTTGCTAAGGTGCATTGACTCAAGGAAAACCATCCACTTGTTCCCCCCAGTGATAACTCTCCATCAATGGATATCTTTGCAGATCTGATACGGAGGCGGAGCTACAGCTGGTCATCCGGTTGGCTAAGGAAGTGGGCGCTTTTGATGCTGTGAAATGCACCCACTGGGCTGATGCAGGGAGAGGAGCCGTGGCTCTGGCCGAAGCTGTACAGAGAGCATCACTGGCCCCCAGCAACTTCAAGTTTCTGTACAATGTGGAGGTAAGGATTCTCACTGAACCCTGTGTGACTCCTCTTCCTCCTTTGCGACCTTCATTGAGTTATAATGCAGCAAAGGGTAAGTTATTTTGAGGAAAGGAGTCTGCAGCTGGGCTAGCAATGATTCTGGTCCATGGGTGAGAAACACAGGGATATAAGCAGCAGCTCCATCTCAGTGTCGCCTTCTCTGGCTGACAACAGCTGTCCAGGGGGGTCAGACAAGGGCCTCTCCTAGCCTGAAGATCCCAGGGACTGAACCATGCACTTTCTTCATATAAATTTTAAACCTTCCACTAAACTCAGGAGCTGCACGTATTGAGTTTACAAAAAGAAGAAAACAACCCATGCAAACATATAGCTTATAAATTGCCACAATGAGAGTTGTTCCAGCGAAAATGAATCTTGTTATTTTTACAGGAGCTTTTCACGTTACAAATCTTGCTCCTCCTATTTCCAGTACAGCCGTACCCTGGTTTTCGATCAGCTTAATTCTCAAACGTTTCGGCTCCCAAACACCGCAAAAACTGGAAGTGACTGTTCCGGTTTGCGAACTATTTTTGGAAGCCGAACGTCCGACGGGGCTTCCGCGGCTTCCGATTGGCTGCAGGAGCTTCCTGCAACCAATCAGAAGCCGCGCTTTGGTTTTCAAACATTTTGGAAGTTGAACGGACTTCCAGAGCAGATTCAGTTCTGCTTCCAAGGTACGACTGTATGTATCTGTTTCACATTATTCACTTCTTCAGTTATACATCTGCAAAAATATATGTACACAATAAGCTCCCATCAATTACCAGTTTTCTTCATTCATAAACCCAAAGACCCTAGCCTTTGTTGCTCACCTATTTTAATAGTTCCCCACCCCCCCACCCCTTAGAATTTTTCTTTAACTCTTTGGAGTAGGGAATCTTTGTCGCTTTGGCTGCTGCTGCTGCGCTAAAGTTCCCAAATATCCGGGCCATTGGCTGTGCTTGCGGAGCCTGATGGGAGCTTGCATTTCCACAGCATCTGGTTCCCCACACCTGCTCTGGGGGGAGATACCGATAAGCTTGTGGGAGACTTGGGAAAGACTGGCTGATTTGGGAGGGTGAATGGCTTAGGGCCTCAAAATTATCATAAATGCTCTTGCAGGCTCTCTTTCCACGACTAGCCAAGCCAGGTACCCAGCAATCCCCTCTGTCGCTCTCAGGCTAAATCTAATTCCTTGCCCTTGAGTCAGCGGCATAATCAAATTGCTTTCTAATGTCCCTGGGAAGACACAGAATTTTTTGTTCCGAATGCCCAGAATCTGATTGGCATTCTCAAAGCGATGGGGAATAATGTGGTCGTGTTTTTTTTTTTTTTTTTTGAAAAAAGTGACTTAATGAATGATGGATGGCTTAAAAGGAGAATGAAGCTCGCTGGGCCAAAGTGTTCTGAGTTACCTTCCACTGTTTCCTCCCTCCGCCTTGCAGTGAATTTTGGCAAGCCCTAGGCGCTGAGGCTTTTACCCACAGCGCCTTAGGGGAGAGTAAAAATAAGAATGCACACACGCACCTATGTATTTTAACGTTCTATATCCTCTCCTGTCTTACGAATACAGGAATCTGGGCTCTACTGAATCAGGACATTTATTTCACTTATTTTTTAGAATTCCTACACCACCCTTGGTCAAAAAAGACCACAAGGCGGTTTACAACATAGATCATAATAAACGTGTGTGTGTGTGTATCCATCCAATAAAAAAAGAAAGAAACTGTCATATAAATACGATGCATCATAATAAGTAGCACATCGTCATAAATGATACGCAGTGGTTCGTAATATCTGATGAGCAATGCATGCTAAGCAGCAGTAACAGACACTGTCAACCTAGCAAATAAACATTTGGGGAACTTCGGGCATAGCCCCCTAGGCCTCTCCACACATGCACTCCTCAGGCCCATCCCTCACAGACTCTGCTTTCCGCTCTTAAGCATTCTTGCCTGCCTGAGATGTCCCTTCGACTCTGCCTTCTCGGTAGTGCTGCCCGCCCTGTGGAACGCCCTCCCACCAGATGTCAAGGAATAAGGAGCTATCCCATTTTTACAAGACATCTGAAGGCAGCCCTGTTTAGGGAAGTAATATTTAATGCTGTATTGTTTTTCACACTCGATTGAGAGCCGCCCAGAGTGGCTGGGGAAACTCAGCCAGATGGGCGAGGTATAAATAATAAATTTAAAATTGTTGTTGTCGTTTAGTCATGCCCGACTCTTCGTGACCCCATGGACCAGAGCACGCCAGGCACTTCTGTCTTCCACTGCCTCCCGCAGTTTGGTCAAACTCATGTTCGTAGCTTCGAGAACACTATCCAACCATCTCATCCTCTGTCGTCCCCTTCTCCTTGTGCCCTCCATCTTTCCCAACATCAGGGTCTTTTCCAGGGAGTCTTCTCTTCTCATGAGGTGGCCAAAGTATTGGAGCCTCAGCTTCACGATCTGTCCTTCCAGTGAGCACTCAAGGCTGATTTCCTTAAGAATGGATAGGTCTGATCTTCTTGCAGTCCATGAGACTCTCAAGAGTCTCCTCCAGCACCATCATTCAAAAGCATCAATTCTTCGGCAATCAGCCTTCTTTATGGTCCAGCTCTCACTTCCATACATCACTACTGGGAAAACCATAGCTTTAACTCTACGGACCTTTGTTGGCAAGGTGATGTCTCTGCTTTTTAAGATGCTGTCTAGGATTGTCATTGCTTTTCTCCCAAGAAGCAGGCATCTTTCAATTTTGTGACTGCTGTCACCATCTGCAGTGATCATGGAGCCCAAGAAAGTAAAATCTCTCACTGCCTCCATTTAAATTCAAATTTAAAATTCATATTATTAATCATGAAAGCCAAAGGTGGGAATCTTTTTTGTTGCCTTTTGGGATCACATTCCTGTGGTGGGCGGGGCCAGAAGTGGGTGGAGCAAAGAATGTAAATTATTTACCTTTGCACAGTAAGCTGGTTTCCGCACACCCCTCTCCATCCCGATGGGCAAGAGAAATGAATTATCGAAGTTTAAGGGCACAGTCCAGCCAGGCAGAAGCACCCGAGGAGGGTGCAAGGCAGGACCATTGAGAGGTGTGATCTAAGGAGAGGGGTGTGGCTTGGGGAGAGTACCAAGGGCCAAACAGAGAGGTCTGGGGGGCCACATCTGTGCCTGGGCCTGAGGTTCCTCCCCGTCACCATCACTCATGGTAAGCCTTCCATTTTCTGGTGCAGCCCCTCTTCAGTATGTTTTCTGCTTGGGAAAATGATGCGTTCTTGTTGCTTTCAGATTACCATGATTGGCTACGTTCCTTATTGATTTGGCATCCCATGGCAGTAGGAAAGGAATTGGACTGACTCTCTGTCTCCCCTCCTTTTCCTGTCTTTCTAGCTTCCGATTGTAGACAAGATAAGAATTATTGCACAGACGATCTATGGGGCAAAGGACATTGAACTGCTGCCAGAAGCAGAGCAGAAGATTCTTCTGTACACCAAGCAGGTATGCTAGCAAAACATCCTTGCAAGATTGGGCTCTTACATTTGGATTTTTTTGTGGGCACGTTCTGATTTTTCCTGTGCACGTAGCCTGATGGTCAACAGCTACCAAGACTGCCTTAATTAATTTCTTAGGAAAGAAGCCTAGAAAATTCTTCTCCAGAAAAAACAGGCTTCATTTTGGCATGTTGCCCATTCTTGCTTTCTCTCTCTCTGATATGATGCTGATAATTAGGGCTTATTCTTTTTATGAGCTTATAAACTTAATTTGTATCTTCTCCTATTTCAGTGGGATGTCATTCAGCTTTTCTTGACACCAAATTCAGAGTGCCTTAGTTAAGGATATTAACATTTTGTAGCTTGTATATGCATTTGTAAATTTTGAAAAGAAGGTTTGCCCTATAAAAGCATTCCTTGTTAAAATTCCATAGGCCAATGATATGCAAAGTTGTCTGCACTTTATCGTGTGCGTGTCCATTTAAAAAACATATTTGGAGATTTTGCTTACTGCTGCTTACTCACCGCTCCTTAATAAACTAAAGTTACGGCACTCGCAGCTCCAGTTAAGTATCTCAGTTGAAACTTTGTTTCCAAATCGCTGGAATGAAATTGTTGTGTTGTTGTTGTTGTTTTAGAAAGCCCAAGGTCCATATTGGCTCCTCGCAAAAGCACTTGCAATTAGCAGATTATCTTCATAGAACTGCAAATGGCAGCATTAGGGGGTCTTTTACTTTCCCTTTGGGGTAGCAGTGCTACTCCGTTGCAGCAGAAATTACACATGAAGGGCTTTGGATTGCAGCCAGATTTAACAGTGCAATCCTATAACACAGGCAGAGGCAAACTCGGCCCTCCAGATGTTTTGCGACTACAATTCCCATCATCCCTGACCACTGGTCCTGTTAGCTAGGGATCATGGGAGTTGTAGTCCCAAAACATCTGGAGGGCTGAGTTTGCCTATGCCTGCTATAACACATCTGCTCAAAAAATAAGTCTCCATTGAGTTAATGGGGAAAACTCCCAGTTCAGTAGGTTTACAGCAGGCATAGGCAAATTCGGCCCTCCAAATGTTTTAAATCAAGGCACGACAGAGCTGAGTACACTTTATTTGAAGCAATTGCATAATGCTTTTCTGGCATGCTGTTCAAAAGTTGTCCTGCTCTTTCTTGTGGTCTCCTCAATCCATCATCCAGGGTTTTGGGAACCTGCCTATCTGCATGGCGAAAACCCACCTGTCGCTGTCTCACGACCCAGAACAGAAAGGGGTGCCCTCTGGTTTCATCCTGCCCATCAGAGACATCCGAGCCAGCGTGGGTGCAGGATTCTTGTATCCGTTAGTAGGAACGGTAAGTGCTACATATTGAAAGCTTTGTTGTGTGGATTAAGTCGGAGCGGGTAGCAAACATGCAGAGCTGCCTTCGACCTTTTGTCTATGTAGCCTAGCACAGCCTTGACCAACCCTGGATTCCCAAATGCCGTTGGACTACAAATCCCATCATCCCCAGCCAGCTTGGCCAGTGACCAGGGATGATGGAGGTTGTAGTCCAGCAGCATCCGGGGACCCAAAGTTGAGGAAAGCTGGACTGGCGAAATGCTGTTTCCAGATGAAAAAGAGGGCTGGAGGGACTGTGAATCTCTGCAGTTTGTGTGGATCTCATTCTCTTCATGTTAGGCCATAAAGCGCCCCTTCTCATTTAAAAAGCCCTAAACAGCCTCAGGCCTGTATACCCCAAGGAGTGTCTCCACCCCCATCACTCTCCCCAGACACTGAGGTCTAGCTCCAAAGGCCTTCTGGCAGTTCCCTCACAGCAAGAAGTGAGGTTACAGGGAACCAGGCAAAAGGGCCTTCTCGGTAGTGGCGCCCGCCCTGTGGAAGGCCGTCCCATCAGATGTCAATGAGATAAGTAGCTATCTGACTTTTAGAAGACATCTGAAGGCCGCTCCGTATGTTTCGTGTTTTATTGTTTTTATATTTGTTGGATGCTGGGGTGTGGCTGAGGTACAAACAAACAAACACCTGTTTTGTGTTGTGCAAGCTTACAAAGCAATTTTACTTTCAATGCTTTGTACATTAAGTCACTTTTGGTTTTTGGTTTTTTAAAATCAATAAATCTCCAGCATGCTGCATTAAACCTGTAGCCCAGTGACACACTTTCCTTATCCAAACAGACCTTCAATTATTTTATGGTGAATATTGCTGATTTTGGGTGAATATTTCTGATTTGTGGCCAGGAGAGAGTTGAGGGGAGGAGCTCTCATCTAAGATATGCTTGTTAGCCCAAGAAAAAAAATGTTCTCTGGTATAAATAGCAAAGCACATGTTGCAGGAATGTTCGGAAGACTAAAACATTTTGTCTTGTTTTGGCATCTCCAAATTTGGACGGCTTGGCTTTTAATTCAAATCCCCCAAGCATCTTACGCAAGTCTGCCTGTAGCACTAGATTCTTGCTGTTGTTTTTCCAGGCTCTCGCAAAACCATATGGCATTAAAAAAAATAGACTCTCAGGAGCTGAGCAGCTTAAGGTAATGCTGCTTATGTTCAGGTGGAAGAGCCATAACTCATTGGCAAAAAGAGCCAGCCTTGAGGTCCTGGGTTCAGTCCTCAGGATCAGTAGCAGGGCTTGCACAAATCCCTGAGCCTTTGGAGCACCATTGTCAGAGTAGGCAGGACACTACAGGTGACTGAACTTTCTTGGCCTGAGGGACACATCACCCCTGCAGTTCCTCTGGGAGGGGCAGGAACGCTGAACTGGTAGTTCTTCTTCTCTTTGACATCTGGTGGGAGGGCGTTCCACAGGGCAGGTGCCACCACGAGAAGGCCCTCTGCCTGGTTCCCTGTAACTTGGCTTCTCGCAGCGAGGGAACCGCCAGAAGGTCCTTGGTGCTGGACCTCAGTGTCTGGGCAGAACGATGGGGGTGGAGATGTTCCTTCAGGTATACTGGGCCGAGGCCGTTCTTAACCTGAGGTACCACTTTAGCTAATGGGGCCTCGCACCACCGCCGTGCAATTTCTGTTCTCATCCTGAAGCAAAGTTCTTAACCCGAGGTACTATTTCTGGGTTAGCAGAGTCTGTAACCTGAAGCGTCTGTAACCTGAGGTACCGCTGTATACTGATACATCCCAATGTCTGAAATAAGGATGGAGCTATGTAGAGGCATTAGCTGGCTTCGTGGTTTTTCCCACATTGTGATTTTTGCAAAGAACACCCACCCCATGATTCACAATATATTGCCAGGTCAAAAATTATGAAACTGATATCACAATAAGGACTTCAAACCACTTTTGGACAATATATCACCCAGCCCTACTGTAGGCGTGATTACCCCTGGCAAGATGTCATGGACTGGCTGGTTGCAGAGGAATGGTGGGAGGAACCAGCCGGGGAACCCCCAAGGGAAGGAGGCTGAGAGCCTGGGAATTGGTTGTGGGACAACGATGAGTGGTCAGAGGGAGAAGAGGGAGCAGACTGGGAGGAGGAGGAGGTATTGAAAGCTGAAGAGGGAACAGGGCTTAGTGAGCAGGAAGAGTCTGGGGCAGAGAGCAGTGCAGACTCTGAGGCTGAAGCAGAGGCTGGAGGGGAGGGGGACCAAAAGGCAGAGTGAAGACAGGCTGCTGAAGAATCCAGGGAGTCCCCGCTTCCTGCTGCGACCAGCTCCGCTCCCTCCTGGGTCTCCAAGAACGCACAGAGCAATGAAAAGAGTGGGGCAGAGGTGATACGTGTGCAGCCGCAGTTTGAGACTGTGTGGGGAGACAAGGAGCTTTAGGGGTGGGAAGATGGGGACATCCAGTCCTTGCAACTGCCTCATCGGGGCAAGACCTCCTTGAAAGCATTGCTGAAACCACTAGACCCAAGCTGCAGTTTGTTTCCCTCAGTAACTATTTACTTGAGTGCTTTATTGTTTCTGCTGACAACCTACGCCTGACACAAGCCACTCAAAAACCAAAGACTTATTCTGGCAGTCTTGGGAGCACCGGTTGATGTCAGCCGGAGGGGAGGGGGTGCGCGCAGGGGGTTGAATTTGGTCTTTGACTCCACCGACGTTCTCTTTCAAACTGCATCCCGGAATAAGCACACGTCAGCCAGCGAGGCCATTAGCATAATCTTTATGCTTAACATTATTAAAACCCACTCGCTCAGCGCAGTGTCGTTGCTCCCGTTAACATCACTTCAAAACGCTAAGATTATAAGGAGCCCTGCGGGTCAGAGCTGGTTTTGTAGCCGGGCTGGTGGAGGAAGCTTTGTATTATGGTCTGCATGGCACAAGCCTGCAGTCCCCTCCCTCCCTGACTGTTTGCAACCTCCCCAGAGAGCGCCAAACACTCGTCTCTTTCTCACTTTTGTGGAAACATTCATAGCCCTGCCAGCTGTGGGAGTGGAAACGAGAGAATGGATGTATTATGCTCCCCTGTACTTCAGATCAGAGGTGCACAGCGAAGGCAGCATTTGTTCCTTCTACCCTGTGACAACCGCCCACGCGCCCTGCAAAGCTCAGGAACAGAATAAGCACCAGAGGCCTATCGAACGCAGCATCCTGCGGCCAGCCCCAAGTCCTTGAGATGCCCCACAAGGAGAACAGAACCGCCCTAGGCCTCTCCTGTTGCAGCAGCTGAAATTCAGAAGCATCAGTGCCTCTAATCCTGTAGGGAGCAGTCATCATCCTGACTAGTAGCTACAAATATAGTCTTCTCCTCCATCTCCATGAATTTATCTCAATTCCCTTCTAAAGCCTTTTTGAGCACCATATCTTCTTGTAGTAAGGAACAAGTGGACTGGGAAGATTGTGGCTGGAAGGCTATTGGTATAGATTATTTTGCTCTGGTTGAATTTATTTGGGTGTGTGGGATAGGAGGCTTTTTTTAAAAAAAGAAGTATTTTCAGAGTTGCATCATGTTCTCTCCATCTCCCACAGCAGAATGGGATGGTAGAAACTTGAGCTGATGAAACATGTTGCTGTGGTCTGCAAACGGGCGGTGCAATTGATTCTCTCTGTCCCCAGTCTAGAGAAGATAAGGAGACTGTTAATCTTAGGGTTGTGGGTTCGAGCCTCATGTTGGGCAACAAGATTCCTGCATTGCAGGGGTTGGACTAGATGACACTCGTGGTCCCTTCCAACTCTACAATTCTATGATTCTAGTGAGCTCTGTAGTTCAACAATATGAGGAAGTCTTTTTTCTTTTTCTTTTTCTGTCCTGAATTTGCCGTCACCATATGGCTTCATTGAATGACCCTGGCCTCTAAGAATTACAAGAGAGTGGAGGAAAATACGTATTTCATCCACTTTGTCTACACCGTACATTACGTTATGTGCTTCTATTGTGTGTCCTGACTTGCTTTTTTCTAAACTAAAGGTAAAGGGACCCCTGACCATTAGGTCCAGTCCTGACCGACTCTGGGGTTGCGGCGCTCATCTTGCTTTATTGGCCGAGGGAGCCAGCGTACAGCTTCTGGGTCATGTGGCCAGCATGACTAAGCCGCTTCTGGCGAACCAGAGCAGCTCACAGAAACGCCGTTTACATTCCCGCCAGAGCAGTACCTGTTTATCTACTTGTACTTTGACGTGCTTTTGAACTGCTAGGTTGGCAGGAGCAGGGACCGAGCAACGGGAGCTCACCCCGTCGCGGGGATTCGAACCGCCGACCTTCTGATCAGCAAGTTCTAGGCTCTGTGGTTTAACCCACAGCGCCACCCGCGTCCCATATTTTCTAAACTATAAAGTCCTAAATATTTTAGTCTTTCCTCGTAATGGATTGATGCAGTTCCCTTTTCCAGCTCTACAATACTCTTTTTAGAGGCGCAGCAGCTAGTACTGTAAACAATATTCCCTTTTTTGTAATTTTTTATTTATATTTTTCCATTACAATTTTTTTTAACATTTCATTGAATAGAACTATATATTCATAATCTTTAACTTCCCTCCCCTCCGCTTCCATTGTTCTCTTTATTTATCCATCACAACTGCATATTCTAATGACCCCATATGTTCACATCTCTCCCTTGTAAGCAATATTCCTCGTATTGTCCTGGTCTGAGACACCACTCACTATTATATATTTTTATGGAAGGGGCAACGCAGGCCTCTTGAGCAACAGAGATCCAAAAGGGACTTGATTTACGAACACCTTTCCCCTCCCTATGCCCATTAAAATATTTGTGCTATAAGAGCAAGGCTGTGAGAAAGGCTGAACACTGGCTTTGAATGGGCGGGTCTGAAAGTAGCAGGTGCAAAACGTAAAGGACGGCTCCGTCTTTTCTTGCTGATTGTCAGCCCGTGGGTGTTTCTGATGGGCTTGTACCAATGTGAATAAACATCATCTCTCCCTGCTTTTTTTAAGTTCTGTTATGTAAAGTTCTTTAAGAGAAGGGAGAAAGATCTGGACACATACTATGCAGAGAGAGAGAGAGCGCGCGCACACATGGTAGAGATTTTGAGCAAGAAAAGTCATTTTTCCGGGCTGCCCAAATCTTGTAACGCAATCCTAGGCATGTTGTTTTCAGAATTAAGTCCCAGCGTATTCAGTGGGGCTTTCTTCTGGGAAAGTGTGTTTCGAATTGCAGGCAAATGTCGTCCCACCCACAATGAACCGAGTTCTGCAAGCAGCTTGTTGTATAAGGCAAGGGCATCTTGAAGGTGAAGCAGGAAAAAAAATCCTGCTTCTCTTGCTCACTTCAAGATTAAGCAGCCCTTCCCGGCATGTTCTGATCGAACGGCGCTAGAGAGTTATAATAAATCCAAAAAAGGGGGGAGGGGGGAATAGGAAGCCTCTTGCACAGAGAATTTGCTTCTTCCTTGTTGCCGTACCTGCTTATTTTCTTGAGCAAATGGTTAAGCCAGGCATTAAATGGCTTGGCTGGTCCGCAAGCCCTGCTACAGCTGACTCCTTTGAGCAGATTTACAGCCCTTTGTATGCTGGTCGCTGCTTATGTCTGCAGCTGCGTGAACGTCCCTAACCTCCATTAACCTGCCATGTCTGCTGCCTGCAGATGTACCCATTCAGCACTGACGCCGAAATCCCGGCCGCAAAGGCAAATGTTAAGACCTTGTAAATGGAGTTGTAGACAAGGCTCACTTATTCCGGGCGGGAAGAGCAAGTAGCTCGAAAGCTCGTGCCATAATAGATGTATTAGTCTCTAAGGCCCCATCTGATCTCCTGGTTGAATCCATACATTCCCCCAACCCTCCTCTTTGCAATCAAAGGAGGTTAACAAGACTAGCAAAAAGAAAAAGGAAAAACATACACTATTTAGAATTCATTCCCATAATGTTCTGGGGAGCCAGATGGGAGCCATTTTCAGAGTGTAATAGGTTTGCTTTGTGGGTTGTTGGGGTTTGGTCTGGTTTTTAATCAGAAATGCTGCTTGCTAGAAATCTTCCCGTCTTTTCTTGTTTTTTAAACACATGGGTTAATCTTTTAAAAATGTCTCTCGCGAGCCCGGCTCACCTGCAGAAAGAATACCACTGATTAAGGGTTATGATCCCTTGTGTGTGAAGCGAGCCTTCTAAAGAGCTGCATAAAAATGTACCATTGCTTCAGAAGTAATCTTAGCGGGGGGTGGGGGTGGAAATACGTCAGCCAATTTGTGTAGCTCTGTCTTGCTTTAAGACTCTGCTGCCTGCATGGCCCACCAGCTAGGATTAAGATATTGGAAGCGGGGGCTCATGTCTCAGCTAAACTTGGAGCTTTCTTTCGCAGTGCTGAGCAGGAAATTCTCCATCCACCTAATTGAGCTCTCTGCAAAATGGGAGAAAGAGTGGTGGAAATCTTTTTCTCTCTTTTTTAAAGAAAGGAAGAAAGAAAAACGAATCGGAAATGTGATTAAGGTTCATCACCTAATGCCTGGTGAGTGGAGATGCTTTTCATTCTCCCATCTCGAAACTACAAGGTCATTCCATGAAACTGCATGGTGGGCGATCAAAGCAGAAAACAGCATCTTCCTCACACAGTAGAATTGTAGAGCTGGAAGGGTCCTGTGTGAGTGTCTGGAGGCAGTTGGAGGATGGATGGCGGCTAACAGATTGAGGTTGAATCCTGACAAAACAGAAGTACTGTTTTGGGGGGGCAGGAGGCGGGCGGGTGTGGAGGACTCCCTGGTCCTGAATGCGGTAACTTTACCCCCTGAAGGACCAGGTGTGCAACCTGGAAGTCATTTTGGACTCACAGCTGTACAGGGAGGCGCAAGTCAATTCTGTGTCCAGGGCAGCTGTCGACCAGCTCCATCTGGTATGGCAGGCTGAGACCCTACCTGCCCGCAGACTGTCACACCAGAGTGGTGCATGCTCTAGTTATCTCCCGCTTGGACCACTGCAACGTGCTCTACATGGGGCTACCTTTGAAGGTGACCCAGAAACTACAACTAATCCAAAATGCGGCAGCTAGACTGGGGACTGGGAGCGGCCACCAGGACCACATAACACCGGTCCTGAGAGATCTGCATTGGCTCCCAGTACGTTTCCGAGCACAATTCAAAGTGTTGGTGCTGACCTTTAAAGTCCTAAATAGCCTCGGCCCAGTATACCTGAAGGAGCGTCTCCACCCCCATCATTCAGCCCGGACACTGAAATCCAGCGCCAAGGGCCTTCTGGCGGTTCCCTCACTGTGAGAAGTGAGGTTACCAGGAATCAGGCAGACGGCCTTCTCGGTGGTGGCACCTGCCCTGTGGAACGCCCTCCCACCAGATGTCAAAGAGAAGAAGAACTACCAGACTTTTAGACGACATCTGAAGGCAGCCCTGTTTAGGGAAGCTTTTAATGTTTGGTGCATTAATGTATTTTAATATTGTGTTGAAAGCTGCCCAGAGTGGCTGGGGAAGCCCAGCCAGATGGGCAGGGTATAAATAATGAATCATCATCATTCTAGTCCAACCCCCTACAATGCAGGAATCCTGCCCACAGCCATCCCTGCGTCAGTGTATAGTTTAACTATGGAATTCGCTTCTACAAGATGTAGGTATGTAACAAAGCAGGTTGTCTGGTGGGAGGGAAATGCCAGGCTAGCTTAACCCGGCAGGTGTGTTGCTGCTTTCACTGGTAGGGATTGGTGGTAGAGCTAAGAGAGAGGGAGGTTGATGCAGTGCAGGCGATCAGCTACACCTGTATGCCCATTTCATGCTGACTGCCTCTCCCTTCTGATAAGCAACAGTGACTCGCCTGCCAGGAAACGAGCTTTGTGGTTCCGCCCCACGGCATGAGCTGTTTCTAAGTGTGCAAAGTTCTAATCGTGGTTGCTAGTCTTCATGACCTTTTGGGGGGCTTTCCAGAGATGATAATTAGATGATCTGCGAGATTACAGGGAACCAGGCAGAGGGCCTTCTCAGCAGTGGCACCCTCCCTGTGGAACACCCTCCCATCAGATGTCAAGGAAATAAACAACTAACGGACTTTTAGAAGACATCTGAAGGCAGCCCTGTTCAGGGAAGCCTTTAACGTCTTGACCCGCCCATAGTGGCTGTGGCAACCCAGTCAGATGGGTAGCATACCAATAATAATAATAATAATAATAATAATAATAATAATAATAATAATAGATTCAGGTAGGTAGCCGTGTTGGTCTGACACAGTCAACATAAAAAAATAAAAATAAATTGTCCAGTACCACCTTAGAGACCGACTAAATTTCTTCTGGGTATAAGCTTTCATGCGCATGCACACTTCAGATACACAATAATAACAATAGTTATTAATCAGGGTTCGGATTTGAACATTAGCAACCCACAAAGACCACAGGCTCAAGATTGTCGCTGAAACGAATCCACACGTTTACTAGTGCTTCATTCAAAGCGTACTGTTGCCTTCTCATGAACTTTGAAGCCAAACTCGAAGCAATGAGCTTTCCTCTCGTACTTTCCCAAAGAGCCCCACCCAGAACAGCAGGGGCCTGTTTGCAGCAACCAAGAGAGCAGCTGGCGTTTTGGGATGGGGGGCTTTTTGTCTGGAATGCCAAAGAACTAGCAGGCAGATGGAATTAACTTTCTTAATTCCTCCCATACCTCCTTTCTGGTAGAGGCTTGAGTTAAGTTGTGGGTTAACATATCAGGCGACACAGCGATTCTTCAAACAGCTCTTGTTTATTCATAGGCCAGAACAGAACTGAACTGAAGGGTTCAGCCAGCCTGCTTATATAGAGCTCCACTAGAACACAACAGTAACCATTTTCTGTAACTATCCAATCACTGAACGTCACTTTCAATCCCTTATTTGCATATGTGGACCTGAGTGAAACCTATCTACAGTATCCTCCTTCTGGCCCAGGGTGAGAACTTCAGTACATAACAGCTTTGCTGGAAAGAAGATCCCAGCTTTGCTCCCCTGTCCCTTTCTCCTTGTGAAGCCACAGGGCAAATGTCAGCTGTACCAGTGGCAGTCCTGCCTGGGAAGAGAGGTGCCAAGTTTTTCAGTTGTCTAGCCAGCAGGAAGAGGGTTGAAATGCCTTTGTCTTGGTGGTCTGTTTCCTGCTGGTTAATAGGACTTTGGCTTCAAGCAACTGCTGGTCCACTGACATGACCCAGATCCAGCCAGGAAGCTCTTAATGTTCTTTGCTCCTGTTTCCAGCTCCATTTTTGATATTTGTTCAGTTCATTTCAGTTGATTTTTTTCCCTTTTAATTCCTTCCAGATGAGCACAATGCCAGGACTTCCAACTAGGCCTTGTTTCTATGACATTGATCTGGACCCAGCGACTGGAGAAGTGACCGGCCTGTTCTAAAATGAACTGACAATCCAAAGTGAGTACTTCATTGCTTGCTATCCTGCAGGACTCCCTGCTTGCAACTGCTGGCTTTTTCCTAGCTCTGCAATCACGCCTGGTCCCACCATTCACTCTTCCCTGAAATAACGTGGAAGCCTTTTTTCCATCATGCAGTCCCTATTCTGCCATCCCAGGAACATGCATGTGAAAGAACTACATAGTTGTTTGACCTACATAGCTCTAGAGCAGTGTTTCCCAACCTTGGGCCTCCAGCTGTTTTTGGACTACAACTCCCATCATCCCTAGCTAGCAAGACCAGTGGTCAGGGATGATGGGAATTGTAGTTCAAAAACAGCTGGAGGCCCAAGGTTGGGAAACACTGCTCTAGAGAGCTGCAGTTGGCCATCTATTTTCTGCATTTTTCATCATGGCTTGCGGTGCTAAGGACTAGTAACATGATTTCTTTTCTTTTTGCAGGTATCCAAGCAATGCCAGTTTGGCGAAACCTGAAGAAGGTACCTCAAGGGGACACTAGGAAGTCTTTGGAAACAAATTAACCTGCTGCATTTTTTAAAAAATAATAATAATCTGTAATACTGTATTTTTAATTAGGTTGTCTACTTTTTAGTCACTACAGATGAAAGTCTGCATCATGTTAAAAGCAAAGGGTGATCACCAGAATTAGTCATATTCAGGAGTAGATCTATGGACTTAAATCCATTGATTTCAGAGGGCCTACTCTGGCTAATGTTGGATATCACCCAGAAACCTTTTTAAATGGGTTCAAACCGTGGTTTTGGGACGCGGGTGGCGCTGTGGGTAAAAGCCTCAGCGCCTAGGGCTTGCCGATCGAAAGGTCGGCGGTTCGAATCCCCGTGGCGGGGTGCGCTCCCGTTGCTCGGTCCCAGCGCCTGCCAACCTAGCAGTTCGAAAGCACCCCCGGGTGCAAGTAGATAAATAGGGACCGCTTACTGGCGGGAAGGTAAACGGCGTTTCCGTGTGCTGCGCTGGCTCGCCAGATGCAGCTTTGTCACGCTGGCCACGTGACCCGGAAGTGTCTCCGGACAGCGCTGGCCCTCGGCCTCTTGAGTGAGATGGGCGCACAACCCTAGAGTCTGTCAAGACTGGCCCGTACGGGCAGGGGTACCTTTACCTTTACCTTTTTAAACCGTGGTTTTAAACAGTCAGTGAAAAGCAACATGCGGTTTTAACCAGGGTAGCAAACTTATTAAAGATGTTTTAATTGATTAATCACATGAGTTTCGATCTATGCAGTATGCATATGGGGAAACAGAATATTTCTAAGCAAAAGATAGTATTTTCTTTGTTGGTAGATTGTATGTGTCGTCTTTGGCAATATCAAAGAAGCGTTCTTTTGGAATGAGATGCTAGAGAAGGCTTCTTTTAGAATGGTGTTTGCCTTCTGCACTTTTTATATTCACAATACTTTGTTAAAAAATCTTCCCAGCTAATTGGAGGATCCTTTTTGGGGTTGGTTTTAAAAAAATGTGATCATGTAATCCTAACTGATTAATCAGTTCAAACACTGCAGCCCTAGCATCCTCTATTAGTGCCTAATGTACAAAAGTGTGTTTTTAAGGTCTTAAATCTTTGGTGTAATTATGAATGCTAGTACATTCCCATGGAATGGGGCAGGCAGCTCTGCACATATCCCCAAGCTGCAGAGCCCGTTCTGAAATTGGCAAGGCAATGCACTGTTCAATGGCAGAAGCATGCAGACGGTAACCCAGGTTCAATCCCTTCAGTTAAAAAGATCTCTGGAGGCACGCCTGAGAAACTCCTGTGTCTGAGACCTTGAGTTCTTGCTTCTCATCGTAGGCCGGGGTCATCCAGTGCGGTGCCTTCCAAATGAAGGATGAACTACTACTCCCATAAACCCTGGCCATAGGTCATTGCCGGTTGGGATTCATGGGCATTGGAGGCCAGCAAAAATCTGGAGGGCGCTGCATTCCCTAAGTTGTTAGTAGACAGTGCCTGCTAGTCACGATGGTTGTATACGACCTCCAGGAACAGAGACAGCTGCTGGAAAACAACAATTGGGGAGTGTCGTCATCCACGTGTCCTTCTGGAGGACTTCCCACTAAGGCATCTGGTTGGCCACTGTGGCCAAACAGACCAGCATTCTGACGGTGCAAAGGGTGCTTTGCATGGTCTGTTGTTGTTTAGTCGTTTAGTTGTGTCCGACTCTTCTTGACCCCATGGACCAGAGCACGCCAGGCCCTCCTGTCTTCCACTGCCTCCCGCAGTTTGGTCAAACTCATGCTGGTAGCTTCGAGAACACTGTCCCACCATCTCGTCCTCTGTCGTCCCCTTCTCCTTGTGCCCTCCATCTTTCCCAACATCAGGGTCTTTTCCAGGGAGTCTTCTCTTCTCATGAGGTGGCCCAAGTACTGAAGCCTCAGCTTCAGGATCTGTCCTTCCAGTGAGCGCTCAGGGCTAATTTCCTTCAGAATGGATAGGTTTGATCTTCTTGCAGTCCATGGGACTCTCACAAGTCTCCTCCACCATAATTCCAAAGCATCAATTCTTCAGCAATCAACCTTCTTTATGGTCCAGCTCTCACTTCCATACATCACTACTGAGAAAAACCATAGCTTTAACTATACGGACCATTGCCAGCAATGTGATGTCTCTGCCTTGCATTCTCACATCAGTTTAAATGGCCTTCATCTGTTTGGCAGCAGTCAACTCCCCTAATGCAGGCCTGCAAATATATGATCAGCCAGTCTGAATCCGCGGGTGGGGGCCCATCGGGTAGCTTGATCAACCTCCCTTTTTATTTAGTAGTCTTTGGGATGCAGAAAAAAAATAAAATAGAGGACAATTGACGAGCAGGTTGGTGGCATTGTGTTTGGCTCAGCGAGCGACAAGTGGTCTATTCTGAGATGTGTAGCTAGTTTAAATGATACAGGGAAGTGGGTGGATGATTGTGTTCCCTCTAGCGACAGCTCCCCACGCAGTGGAGCAGAACTGCCCATCACTTGAGCAATGCTTCCTTGAGTAGCTGCTTGGTTTACTTGCTTGCGCACACACCTGTCTTGAGTCTATGTTTGCTTTTGTGCACCCATGAACAGAGCCTGTCTTCCTCATAGCAACTGGAGAAAGGAAAACTTCAAAGCCAAACTCTGTTTAACTCCTTCCGTTTTTGCACTGCTTGGGAATTCATTTAACAAGCATCTTCGTTTTCCCGTCAGGGATTGGGACTCGGCACATGTTCAGCGCAGGCTGCAACCAAATAGGTCATCTTGTCGCTTGGATGCCAGCCAGCCATTGTAGCAAATTGCCCAGATCTCTTGGGATCCCTATGTTGCCCTCACTGGGATTTGGTTCTAAGTATACTTTTCCCTGCGGGTGCTTGATGTCTGCACACTGCACCTTTTAAAGTCCTGCTGTGTTTTCATTTTGCATTGCTTCAAAAGCTCTGCTTGCTGTAGGGGTTGTTCCGTTCCTGGTTTCATTCCAGATCTGGAGTTTATTTACGCCTACCCTAATCATTGTCAGACAACAAGGAGGGCTGGGAACGATGTGGACTTGTACGGTCAACCTTGATGGCTTCTCGGGTGATTGCAGAGGCATCTGCTGCTGTAAGACACTTTGTTTGCACAGGATGTTCCCTTACACTGGAAATGTACAAAATACCTGAATACCTCTCCTTTGAGTCCTTTTCTGACTCTCAGTTGTGCAACTCTGACAAAAGAACTTAGAGATGATGGATGGGAAACTTCCCTTGCTCCGTCCCTCTCTCTTCTTTCATAAAAGGGCAAAGTCCTTGGTTTAGCATGCAGAAAAATGTCCCAGGTTCAATGCACAGGTAGGGCTGGGGAGGGGGGGGAACCCCTTTGCTGAAACCCTTAAGAGCCACTGCCAATCAACGTAGACAAAGCTGAGCCAGATGGACCGGGTCTGTATTAGGCAACTTCCTATGTTCCTGTGGGTTTTTAAAACATATTTTTAAAATAATTTTGAATATATTAACATAGCTTCAGTTCCCCAACCCAATAACAACCCCAGCTATGTACAGTTGCATTAGTGACAATAAAGTAAAACATGGACTCGATGGCTGCCGATTTATAAAGTGCTATTCCACAGGCTCCCATGTGTCTTGGGTGGTTCATACGCTTGTTCTTTCTTGGTTGCGAATGAAATAATTGCTGCGGTTTTTATGATGGGTTTACTCCTGTTTGAAGTCCAGATCCTGACCTCCAAGAGAGACCCAAATTGGCCAGTGCTCTTTCCATCTCCGTCAGCATCGCTTAAGAGAAATTTGCGTGCAGTCCTGATTTTTCTTTTTCCCGGAATCCAAAGTCCACCAAAGGCTTTGCCTTCAGTGTTTCCTGGTAGGCACCTCTTTCTATTTGTGGGGAGACTGGATCTCCCACATAAGACCTCAAGGAAGGGACGTTTCCTCTTGCTTTGCCTTTTTAATAGGTCCCTGGTGTTCACTGCCAAACCTTTATTTCTTTTGTGCAACATTCATGTTTCTGTTCAAGTGATCAAACAAGATGCAAAAGCTGTTTCAAATAAGGTTTGTCACACACACACAGAGGAACATCCTCTTTCCTCTCCCCCAAAAGATATATTACTTCCTAATATGAAAATGCAATTGTTGCCAGACTTGTAATTAACACAAATAAACTGCTACATCTTTGAAAAGCTCTCAGGTACTTGATGAATGTGCTGTGATTAATGTAGAGGAGCTTGTTTTTATTATGAGTTCCAGAACTGTTTTGGGCAGGAGCCCTGGTTACTGGAAATGGATTATAAATGCTGCAATGTTTGCATCTGCAATGCACCAACATGGATGGGTTTAAACCGGGGTCCTGTGTCTCTGGAAAGGGGAAGGGGAAATGTTCACATATGGAAGGAAATTCTAAGGCCAGACATATAGTCAACTGGATTTTGATGTATATCTGAGGTGTTTTCATTGCCTCTGTGCCATCACCCTTTGTTCGAAGAGATCAAGGGCATACTACTTCTCATTGAAACTCTTATTAAAGCCTTCAGTTTAACTTAACCCTTATATTCCTTACCTCCTCAACCCCTACTGAAAATAATCCTGAGTTCATTTTAGATTATTCTGTAGTTTAGTGGTGATGCATATGCTTTACAGGTAAAGATCTCTAAACCACTGAGCCTCTTGGGCTTGCCAATCAGAAGGTCGGCGGTTTGAATCCCTGTGATGGGGTGAGCTCCCGTTGCTTTGTCCCAGCTCCTGCCAACCTAGCAGTTCAAAAGCATAACCGTGCGAGTAGATAAATAGGTACCACTACAGCGGGAAGGTAAATGGCATTTAGACCTGCTGGCCACATGACCCAGAAAGCTGTCTCTGGACAAACACCGGCTCCCTCGACCTGAAGCGAGATGAGCGCCATACCTCATAGTTGCCTTTGACTGCACTTAACCACCCAGGTTAAAAGATCTTTTTAAACAATCTCCATTTCAAACCATGGCATCTCCAGCTAAAAAGATCAGGGTTGGAGGGGAAGGGGAAGACCTTTCTCTGAGGCACTGTGGGGATACTGCTAGTCAGAGTGGGAAATACTGAGCTC